AGGCATCAGTACGGAGTAACTGCAGCTCGAGTCAGCCCGCTGATCGCCTCATCTCGCGCATCAGCAACCGCAGGAACGTCAGGGCTGGCCCATCGCGCATCCGCAACCCTGGTCGCTGTCCGTATCGGCGTATCCACTGTCCTCCAGCCGCGCTGCAGGCGTCTCCATCCAGCAGCCAGAGCTCCTAGGGCGTAGCTTAGCCCGGCCATAGGGCTCTGTCTGGCAGCGCGCCTTCCCACCCGCTCCACCGCGCGCCCTGAAACCGCCTGCTGCGAGTCGTCCAGCTTCCGCCATGCCACCGCGCCCTCCCGCTGCGATCCATAAATCAGATCTCGGCATCGCTGCTTCATGACGATTCACCAGAGGGACGGTGGGGAATCACCGCTTCTGTCTATCGACTAGCCCTGATAGCCCGCCAGAAAAAACATCATCATTTCTTTTTCGCCTGCGCAGAAAAAGCAACCGCAGCTCTAGGCCGCCTGCTTTGCTCGCCCTCCTGCTCCCCATAGGCTGTCATCGCTCGCCCTGTCGCCGTCACTAATATAGTCGTCGCCAACGAACCACTAGCCGCCGCGCCGTGGTTGCTCTTCCCCTGCCGCCACGGCCTCCGCCCTGCTTGACAGCCACCTGAAACTTCAACGGTCCCCTCCAAGCCACTATTCTTAACAATCCCCAGCATCACCCAGTTTCTCCATCCAGGCGTCCCTTTTCCATGTGCAGCTGATTCGGTTGCTCTGCAGCTGCCCTGCTTGGCCTGCGTCCTCTCTCTGTCCTGTACAGTCTTCTCTCGTCAACCCCGATCAAGTCTCTGCCCGTCAGCACCGCTTACCGCCTCTGTACCCCCCTCCATCGCTCCACAAGGGCCCTCCTCGATTCACTCTCACTGGCCCTGCTCCCCGGATACCTGCGTTCTCTGTGTGAGTGGATGGCGACGCTGCGTCCGTGACTCGCCCTCCATTTGCCCTCCCTTGCATTGTCGCCTTGTCCCCCAAGGATTCCGCTCACCTTCGCTCTCTCTCCGCTCACCTTCGCTCAACTGCTTCTGGAAGCCATTCTGATCGTCGTGACCTGTCCGTTTTGACGGTCTCCTCGTCGACACTCACAACAGCCGCTTGCTACTCCATCTCTTCTCCCCGTCCTAGCGTCCATGGTCCTGCTCCTGGGCGTGTCTCTGCGGCGAACCATGTCATGATGCGGAGTCGAAAACGCTTCAAGAAAGTGACACTTGTTCGATGAACGGTCCTGGAACACCGCACTCACGAATCGTCCCAAGTTTGATCCTTGTCCTTGGTCTCTGTCTGCTCTGTCTGGGAACAACTAACTGCTTGTGATCTATTGACCGAGGCCTGCCATCTGCTGTCCCTGGGGACGGCGGGGGTGGTCAGAGACGAGAATTTTTTTTTCAGGATGTATCCCTCTGTGGCTGTCCCTCCGCAATTCCAACCCCATCATCACATGGACCAGCGGCTCAACTATGATCCCCTTGCTCGTCCGTATGATCTGAACGGCGCAACTGTGCAAGCCAACAAAACGGCCTTCAACTCGATCCCGCGGTTCCCGCAACCTGTGCAGCGGTCAGATTCCCATGACTTGAGATCCAACGATCCCAACAAGGTGGCCAATGTCGGCGAACATGCACTGAGGAGGAAGACCCCGAACGGAACGCTGGCGGCTGGCTATGATGGGACTCCCGGTGACCGGACGATCCAACCGCCGGCGGCAAAACATCTCTTGGTATCGTCGTTGGAACCAGGACAGGTGCTGCCCTCGCAGTCGACCCTGCCGGTGGAGAATTGGCAGCCCGTGACCCTCGACCAGACTGCGTCCGCTCAATATCCCAACTTTCCTCCCGTGTACAACAAGCAGGACCCCAACCGGACCAACAATGGGCTTGCCAACGATCAGGTTCAGGGCGGCGGAGGAGCTGGCCCGAGCTGGGTTCGTTCTCTGAACGTTCAGCCTGGGATGGATTCCGTGTTGCACCAAACCGTTCCCATGCAGCCGTCTCAACGCTATTACTTGCAAAATGGCCCCTCCATCCCAACGGTGATGCCAGCAACCCTCCAGCAGCCCTGTCTCGGTCCAACTGCACCGGTTGGCACCGGTCCCTACGGACCATATTGGCCGGACGGAGCATACATCCCCTATCGCCCAGCGGCCCTCCGTGACACTCGTTTCCTGCCAAACAACCAATTTGCCAATAATCCAAACACCCCGCAGATTTACGACCCCAACCAGCCGCCGTATGGTCCGACATCACTTCCTGCGTCAGGTCTGTCTACTCCAGGTCTCTCATGGAACCAGGGCCCCCCACCACCCATGAATCATGAGCCGTTCTTGCAGCCGCCGCAGCAGCAGAATTTCCCTCCTCGTTACCCTCATCAGAACACACTCCCCTATCATGTTCGGAACGCAAATGTGTTGAACTCGAATGTCTCTACACATCCTCAGGGTGAGGCGGTGGGTTGGCCTGGCTCCCACCCAAGCCGCAATATACCCCCGTCCGACATCAGCTCTCGGGCGCAGAACGCCGAATTCAAGGAGAAGGTCCTGTCGTGGGCTCATGGCGTCTATGTGGATCTTCTTGCCACTCTTAATGCGCGAAGACAGAGCCTGTCGAAACCAGGCGTGGATGGCCAACCTCAGCGGCCTCCGAAACCCAGCATCTATCCTAAGCCTCCTCGCCAGCCTGGTTTAGACTTCTCGTCCTCTTCCGACATCCAGCGACACAACGGTTATCCCGCTGCGCGTTATGATCTATATACTCAGAACCCAGGTTTGGCCCAGCGGCCCGCGTCAGGTGCAGCCCTTCCGAGGGTTGCTGGTCCGTATCAGAATGAGAATTCGACGATGGCCACTGCGGCGTCTGCCCTGGAGATGCTGACCAATCTTTGCATGGAGAGCGGCTGGGAATGGATTGATGGGATGCTTTTGGGTGGTTGTCTGGCTTACGGCTTGGGTGACTATGACAAGGCTATGAGGTGGTACTCGAGAATAATAGAGAGAGATGACAAGCACGTCGAGGCTATAAGCAATCTCGCTGCGACACTGCTTGCGCTCGAACGCCGGGAAGAGGCTATGCACTATTGGTCTCGTGCCGTCAAACTGCGTCCAAGCTACTTCGAGGCGGTCGAGCATCTGATCGGTCTTCTGTGCAGCAGCCACCGTTCAAGAGAAGCGGTCAATATCATTGAACATGTCGAGAAGTCCCTGCGGGTTTCGAGGAATGGCGACTGCTTCCGGTCGGACGAGCATTCCAGTGAGGCCGAGAGCGATGTTGAAAGCACGGCGTCATACGAACGAGCCGCTTTCGATTACGATAAGGACCTCGAGAACCCCGTTGCTCTCAACTTCAATGTGAACGACTCGAACGCTCCGGGCTTTGCATCCAGCGGCTATGCCATCCCAGGCTCAGACAACGGGAGAATGCTTGCCCTCGTTCACGCCAAAGGCAACATGCTGTATTCTCTGGGTGACAATGCAGGAGCCGCCGCCGCTTTCGAGGACGCCATCCTGATCGCTGCTGGTCGCCGACGTCATGGCATCAAGAGCTTGATCACGCAGATCATCAACGCTTTCATCAGCAACTCTCGCAGCGGCTACCCGGTCGTCCCAGAGCCGAATGATCCCAACGAACCCGTTCTCCTCTACCCTGAAAAGGCTCTGCAGACCGCGAGTCTGGTCTTTCCTCCGTACGGGAATCTGCCAGGCTTGCAGTATGTCCCTGAAGGTCTGGCGCGGAAAGCAGCCATTTCCACCACGAGCAATTCGTTACTTTCCCTGGCTAAGATCTATCAAGATGGCATGTCGCAGTCCTCCGCCACGGGAATGATCAAGTCTGCCTCACCGGGAGTTCGAGACATTTTGGCCCTCTATTATCTGTCCCTCTCCCTGCAGCCGAGTCCGTCTACAGCCAACAATGTAGGCATCCTGCTGGCCGGCATTCAGAACAACGTACCGGTGAAGGTACCGCCTCGTCAGCCCGGCAAAGGCATCCAGGTCCCTGAAATTCCTGGAGTCGTGCCTGGCAGTGGGGTCTCGCTCGCTTTGGCTTACTACTATTACGGGTTGAATTTGGACAACCGGCATGCCCATCTGTACACGAACTTGGGAAGCCTCCTCAAGGACATCGGCCAGCTCCAGCCGGCGATCCGGATGTACGAGCAGGCCGTCCAGTGCGATGGCAACTTCGATATCGCTCTGGCGAACCTGGCGAATGCTGTCAAGGATGCGGGCCGCATCAACGACGCCATTGGTTATTACCGGAGAGCAGTCAGAGTCAATCCGGATTTTGCCGAAGCCGTTTGCGGACTGGCCAACGCGCTCAATTCGGTCTGCAACTGGGCCGGCCGCGGAGGCATCGTCAACGGATACGGCTTCCAAGACCGCTGGCATGTGGACGACCAGGGAATGCTGCGCGATGCCGCTGGAATGGAAACCGGGTCGGGTTGGATGCAGCGTGTGGTGGATATCGTGGACCGGCAGCTGCGAGAAGGCGAGACGTGGGGTCGCGGTTTGTTGTCGACCGCCACAATCGAACAACTCTGTGCGCAACTCACGTCCGTCACGGCGTCGGGCAGACTCCTCCCGATCAAGAACGGCACCTTGGCCGCCCTGCTGCAGTCGTGGGCTGGCCAGAAATGGGAAGGAGCCAGGGTCGTCAAGCTCATCGAGCGTGCCATCCGCGCCATCACATGGCAGTGGTACCAAGACCGACATGTCTATGGCAAGGAGTATCCTCTGTCCAAGTATAGGAGACCCCAACTTCCGGCCGCACTCACGGTGCCAAATGCCCCGACCGTCTTGCCGTTCCACACATTCACCTGTCCGCTGTCTGCCAAGCAGGTCCGGCACATTTCGCAACGGAATGGTCTGCGGATCTCGTGCTCGACTCTTCGCTCGCCGTGGCTTCCCAGCACGGTGTATCCTCCGCCATCTCCTCCGAACCCGTACCTGAGAGTGGGATATGTCTCGTCCGACTTCAACAACCATCCGCTGGCCCATCTGATGCAGTCTGTCTTTGGGCTCCACAATCCCAACCGAGTCAAGGCTTACTGCTACGCGACCACGCCAAGTGACAATTCCGTCCACCGCCAGCAAATTGAGCGGGAAGCGCCCGTCTTCTATGACGCGAGCAGTTGGTCCGTCGATCGCCTCGTCCAGCAGATTGTGAAAGATGGGATTCATATCCTGGTCAACCTGAATGGCTACACGCGGGGTGCACGGAACGAAGTATTCGCGGCCCGACCTGCTCCGATCCACATGTCCTTCATGGGGTTTGCCGGAACTCTGGGAGCAGAATGGTCCGATTACATTCTGGCGGATGAACTCTCGATTCCACGCGATACTCTGAGCCCTGGAAGACGAGACTATCGCATCGAGGATCGCATCTTCGAGGAGGAACATGCTGAAGAAGCGGAGAACTGGGTCTATGCCGAGAGAATCGTCTTCACGCGCGACACATTCTTCTGTTGTGATCATAAGCAGAGTGCGCCGGACAGCGATAATCCTCACATCACCTGGGAAGAAGAGCTTGAGAGACGGTGGAAGAGGCGGAAAGAGTTATTCCCCAATCTGAGTGACGATGCCATCATCTTTGGAAATTTCAATCAACTCTACAAGGTCAGCTTCCAATTCCAACCTCTGTTTCTTGTGGTCAAGTTGCTAACTTGTCATTTCCAGATCGAACCCACCACTTTCCGTACATGGCTTCGGATCCTCTCGAGAGTTCCTAATGCAGTCTTGTGGCTACTTCGCTTCCCTGACGTCGGAGAGCAGAATCTCAGACAAACCGCACTTGCTTGGGCTGGCCAGGAGACTGCTTCGCGGATCATCTTCACTGACGTTGCCCCCAAGCAGCAACACATCGCGCGGGCTCAAATCTGCGATCTTTTCTTGGACACGCCTGAATGCAATGCCCATACCACTGCGGCTGATACCTTGTGGAGTGGGACGCCCATCCTGACCTACCCGCGTTACAAGTATAAGATGTGTTCGCGCATGGCTTCGAGTATTCTGACGAGCGCTCTTCCGAGCACGGAGGCGGGTCGCCAGGCCCGGAACGAGTTGGTGGCCACTTCGGATGAGGATTACGAAAACAAAGCCGTCCGCCTTGGCCTCAGCATGCGATATGAACCCGGTGGTCAGGGCCGGGCGACCGGCAGACTCGTGGAGCTGCGAAAGATGCTCTTCACAAATCGATGGCAGAGCAAGTTGTTTGACACCAGGCGTTGGGTGAATGACTTGGAAGAGGCGTATGAGAAAGTTTGGAATGCATGGGTCCGTGGTGAAGAGAACGATATCTGGTTATGACTTGATTCGAACATATATACCCTTGATTCGTTTTGTCTTTTTTTTTCACCTTTGTCGCATTTTTCTCTTCTTTTCTTTTTGTCTCTCTTCTCTTCGTTCCGTTTGTTTTATTTTCTCTTTTCCGGACATTAATCTCCTGGGCATTGGCATTGCATAATACCGAACACCCTTTTACCAACGTGGATTTATGTTGCTGGGAAATCGTGGACAAAATGGCGTTGAAAGGACAATGAAGGCATTAGTTGGTCGATGTGACTGACATTGTCTATACTGTGTCTATGGAGGGATTAAGTCAATGATTGACTGGTGACGGCCCGGCGTTTATATCATGTGTCTGTTTACTTCCCGATGTGGGAGGGGTTTGTCTTTCTGTTTGTCCTACACTGTTGGAGTAGGTACATGATGAGGCTTTTTGGCATTACCATCTTAAGTTTTGTTTTCCTGGACGTGTATTCGACATGACGTGACGATCTGATTTGGGATGCCTAACGAATGATGAACGGTCTTGGTCTGGTCTGGTCTAGTCTGGTCTGGTCTGGTCTGGTCTGGACTTGGGACCTGAATGTATTTCATGAACATCTGACTTTGATATCATAGGGCGGCACATATATTCGTGATACCATTGGAGTTGGGGGTTTGTTCCATTTCGATAGATATCTAGGTAGTGATCGGTAGTATACTTACTACCTGCATGAATCAACCAACCACAGCCAGCTATTAGTTGGCTACTTGGGATTGATATCTTTTACTCAGTATTCCTAACGTCCGTACAGTACATATAATGAACGAATGATGAATGTCTGTATTGCTAATGGCAAAAAGAAAACTTAAAAGGACGAAGCAAGCCTGTAGCGTGACACATTGACTTCGATAGAACTTCAGTAAAGTGGATACTGAGATAAATATATATAAATATTGAATGGAATGGGTATGTGTTTTTAGTATTATCGAGAGCAGTACCCATAGTTATACGAGTTCAGCTACTTATTAAGGGTGAACCTGTACCTATAACTAGAGTCCGTATTTTTGATTTTCTCTCTCATTTTTTTTAACGAGGTCGCTAATTAGGTTAGGTCTGCAAACACAATTTATGAACTCCTTCCAGTGTTCGTCATGACAGAATTGAATTGAAAAAAAAACGTATCAATTCTGTAGTGGACGGTGGACAGTAAGTAAATACGGATAATGGTGATCATGATGAATTTTGACTATTACATAGACCTAGAACAGACGGGCGAAAACTCCTAGCTAGGAATATAATTATTGAAGATCTCTTAAGAAGAATGAATGAAGGGAATGAAGGAAGGGATAAATAACCAACCCAACCCCATAGGATATCGACAGATCAGCTTCTCATCTCCTCCTCTGTATTGCAAAGAATTATGTAGATAGCAGTTGTTGTAAGTATACATATGGTGTTATATCTAGCTAATTTACTACTATTAAATAAGGCTTGTCTGGTCAGGTAGCAATGTGTTGTGTTTACTACTAACAATAAGTAGTACTGTAGGAGAGGGATAAAAGGAGGCCCAGAAAGTAATCCAACTAGCTGTTCTCTCTCTCTGTTTCATTTTCATTTATCTATCCATGCATGGGACGAATGACATTTGACATCAACTTGGCATGTTGCCGGCACGGCACCGTCGGCAAGCGTCTTTCTTCACTCAATGCCATTATCCGTCATCCGGGCTATGAGACTTCCTCGTCGTCGCTGTCTGTATTCGGGGTGCTACATCTCTGGCTTGGTCCATGTAGGAGGTTGGCTTGTAACAAAAAAAATATCAGCAACGTGACGTGCTATGTCACCTTGGGGACCTGATGATATATCAATCATACGTAAGTATCATATCATCATCCGTTCCGTTCGATTCGATTCGCAATTTTATTGCCTATTTTCCTTCCTTCCTTCCTTCCTTCCTTCTTTCTTTCCTTTTTGTCTACGTTTACTGGAACGACTGACTGACTGACTAAATCCTAGGTAACAGTTCAGGTCTCAATCATCGATGACAAGGAATAACTACTCCCCCATATCGAGTATCGAGCAGACTGCAGATATCATTTACATTCTCGTCGATGATGAGTCATGACAGCTATACAGGCACGTTGAAATCAATCAATCAAGCAAGCAAGCAATAATTAGAGGAAGTGACTGAATTAAAAAAAATTGTATACATATGGTATGCAAAACACTAACTAAAGGGAATTTTAGATACGCATATTGCTTGGCAGACCCGAGTAACGAGAAGAATAAGAGAAAGATAGCTTTTTTCTTCCCCTCACAAGCTAAGGGAATGAATTTGCATTATCTTTGTTTTGTTTGTTGCCATGGGAAGTAAGTACTTGCAGAGAGAAGAGATTAATTAAGAATAAAATCCAGAAAGGAAATATCTATTAGGTATATTGTAAACAATGAGTAAAAAATAGACAGTGATAGGGGAAAATATATATATAGATACAGTAGAATATAAATAAATAAATGTTGCTTTTTTTGTTGTGTAGTATATCTTGCCCACTACCTACATGCAAGTGCAATTAATGAATCTGACTACTTGTGACCTTCCTTTTAGGACAGATAGTCTGACTGCGACCTGCTGACCCGTATCTACCTACCTACTTACCTACCTGTCTACGTATATCTCGTGTCTGGATATCCAGTGAGAGATCTGCAGTAATAGCGACAGGATCTAAATAAAGTACAGTACATGTAGTACATACACACCGCTACATCTCGTTAATCGTTAACCAGGTGTTTTTTTGGGCGGAATCTGTCGTTGCTTTGTCATTGCTGTGCTGTGCTTTCTTTACTCGAACCCACCTGACCATCACACACACACACACACACTCACTCTCTCTCTCTCTCTCTCTTTTTTTTCTTTCCTTTTCTCCGATGCTATTTCTTCCTGTATGAATCTACTGAATCTACTACCTCTCCTGTGTAAATTTCATTCCATTTCATTTATTTATTGCTCGAGTCTCGAGGATATAGATGTGCAGTCAGACACAAAATTTCATGTAGGAAGGAATGTCCATGCAGTAGGTACGTACATGTACTTAAGGTATATTATTTACTATTATTATTATAATTTATTCTTAGGTAGCAAAGTTATGCACCCTAGGCAACCTACCTACCTAAACGTACAGGACAGGACCAAATTTTTGGTCCTCGAGGGGTTTTTTTAAGGTTGGTCGTCACATCCCGACAGGAGGAGGAGGAGGGTATCATTTGCCATCATTTGGTCTTTTTTTCCTCTTGCGCGCGCTCCCTCTGCCACTCGTTTCTTTTTTTTGGATGTGACTTGGTTGATTCGTGTTGGTTGATCACAATTCACGTCTGCACCTGCACCTACATACATAGTACCGTGCCAGCTGCCAATCACTAGCTCTGGTTGGTGTGAGATATTTTCATTTTCATAGATTGTGGTCAAGGGGGAAAAAAATAGAACTTTAGTTGAGCAAAAAAAAATTTCACGTCGCGTTGAGAGGGTTGTTCTAGTTGTATCGTACTGTGTTTTTGATGTAGAGTAGGATTCAAGTCTATTCCGTATCTTCGGATACAGTACCCGCCAATCAAGTTTGAACTTTAAGGGAGTATGAAGTGTGGCTTGTGGCTGTGCTGGTCTAAGTTTATGACCTTCGTCTTTTTTTCAGCCGTAGTGTGGCGCAGTATGTGGCGGGGCGAATAATGTTGTACTGTACTTGTTCAGTGTTCACCGAGGGAGGCATGATACAGTACATACCATCTTGAGTATGGCGGACGGAGTATTACTCCGTGCTGCATACTCCATTCTCCGTACGATAAATTTGTGTGCTTTCAAAATTTGGAATTTCTTTTCTTTTTTTTTTTGGTTTCTAGGGATGTTGTTGATTTACTCCATCCTTGACTTGCCTTATTAGTATGTTGTTTGCGGATATATATCCTCCGTACCTTATTGTTCCTGAATGTGGCTCACCTGTGGCTCATGCATCTATCCAGCTCAACAGAGTTTAGACTTTTTTACACCCCTGTCACTTTACGACCTAGGTGAGGTGACTCGCTTACCGATACTGTTTGAGGCTGGAGTCGCTGGCCATCTGTCTCATCATTTTCCCAAAAAAAAGGTTGTGAGATTGAGTTTCATGGTTTGAGATTGAGTTTGTCGGGCGGGCCAGTCACCGTCCTCTGCGACCCTGTCAAGACGCCAGGATGCTTCGTTAGCGGCCCTGGCTGCCGGGGCCATGGGCCTTTCAAACAAGGTTCACAACTGCTGCTAGTGGCAGTTAGCTCGCTGTCTGCGGTTGTTGGGTAACTTGGGTTACCCTGCGTGGCGCCATACGGGCCCAGAATTTGTCATAGTTCCCTATCTAGCGAGGACGGACGACTCGGTGGATTTTATACGTCCGGAGCGTTGCAGCGGGACTCAACCCAAGACGGGTTGACTTTGACCTATTATTACCTACCTTAGGGCATGGAGACCACAAACCCCAGGCATGGTTCAATTGTACTCCGGACGGAGTAAAAAGACGTGCCATCCTTTACGGACTACATCAATGGTGGAAATTAACCGCGAAAAATCAATAGTCTTGTCCCAGTCCCCTCCACACAGTGTACCCCGTAGGACCATGGACGGTATACGAACTCCTCCATACTCTGTACAATTTTGAATTATGTTGGGGATGACCATCATCATTGTAGACAACCTCTCTCAATTCCAAATCAATTGTCGGTATCCGGTATTGCAATAAACCCTCGAGTTCGACAATCAATCTCCCGTATCTGATACGCCGTGGGACGTACGAGTTGAGTGATTGTCATTGTCCAGATCAGCACCGTTAACTTCACTAATTCGAAGGACAAAGCGATCTTTGTACATGACCTCGCGTGCACATAAACGAACAGTATACATACCTTACATGTCCTGTCGGGGATCTCGTATTGCTGAGTAGTGGTGCAACGCGATTGGGCCGTTGGGGCTAGCGGCCAATCGGGCACCATTTGGTCCCCGAACGGTGACTGAAGCCCGAACGCTCCGGCTTCCTACACTGGCCATTGATGCAGCCCGCAGCCGCCTCTTTGAGAAGTCGGTCGCTTACCTTTGTTCTCCTCTCGGTAGAATAACAAAAATAATAGTTTTGCCGCTTGTGGTGCAAACGGGCTTGCATGCTTCATTCAAGACGTATTGGGTTATTCACCCAATCGCCGTCCGAGGTCGCCGTTCTCATTCAGATGCTCCTGCTGGTGCTATCTTGGTCCAGTCGTTTCCCGGCGGTCGGGGCTAACTTGGTCGTTTTGTCAGCGTGGACGACACGATCGACAAACCACGTGATCTAGTTGGACCGGGCGTCCAGGTTTTCGTCCTTGACATGGGGTTCTCCACTGCCACAAATGGACGAACTCCTGGAAACCCCAGGTCTCGAGGCAGGGTGGCCTAGCTCCAAAATTGGCCCGACAGTCGGGAACCACGGATGCACCTTGGCCGTTGGGTGCATAAGGAGTCGCCGTGGACCAATCCTCGCAGTTTTCCCAGAGAGCGGTATAGGAGTACAGAGGACGATCCTACACCATGAGCGTCCAGCGTTTCAAACTCGGTCAGCCTTGCGATTGCGCTTATTGTGTTGTGTTGGTGTCATGTGCCTTTGGCTGGAATGATCCCTGTCAGTAACACGAATTCACTCAAGTACCATCTCCCGCTCCGGATAGAAGAACCTGAGAGCAATGACAAAATTCTCCGATATCGTATTATTGGTTTGAGGATCAGCGCTGCGTCATTATTTGTATTGTAATGGAGATCCAATGTTCGGCTATGTCCTGAAAGTGGTGTGAAGAATTCCCTCGCTTAACGATGGGTCCGTGACGGGGAAACTAGCGACCACTCGGGTTCTCCATGTGCTTGAGTTGAGACAAGACCAGGCAAACATGGTAAATGTTCACAGCGATTATGACGTGGATTCTTGCTGATCCTCTCGAGCTTGGATGTCAGCGATTATTAAACGTGACATGGCAGCTCCAGGGGCTGCGCGAGTCGATAGCGTGACGGATTTGATCGCTGGTCTGTGCTCCCTCGATCAGATTGCTAACAGACTGGGCAACAGGTACCCGCGCTACCATTCGACGTTGTCGACGCGAGTTCCAACAAGCTCAAGCCCTTTTTTTAGCACGCTTGATCGGACCCACTTCTCGTCGAATATTTCCGGAAAGAGTTGTGGCTCACACACTCGATCGACTTCTCAATGGCTATCTCAGTCCAGCTTAGGCGGTCGTGTGTAATCCTCCGTTTGCCTTACGGAGTATGGAATAATACCTCGTGCTCAACATTAGGATCCTCTGCCAGAGCTGTCGCTGACAACAAAGAGGCCGACTCCGATCCGTGAGCAATTCTTCGGTTTTCAATTACTGGGACTGCGCTCAACATAACCGTTGTAGTCGAGGAGGTATGGAATCCCACGGTCGTACTCGGTACCTAGTCTCGTCACAAAAGGCACTCTGTCATTGGTCCCGACAATGTCGGAGTTGATTTCCAACGCCTGCGCCACACTGTCGGCTGGGTTCAGTTAGGGCATTTCAATCTCAACGGTCCCTAAGCAGGGCACGGACTCTCCCTAGCCCAATAAGGCTCCATGTCCCCTGACAAAAATACGCTATTGGTGGCCTAGTGCTGTCTAGGTAGACTGACCAGTGCACTGTGCTGGCGAGGCCAGAGCCTATCCTCGCCTAGTTGTCAGAGACGTCGATGGTACCATGTGATTTTAAGCTCCTATCAGTAAAGGTGGATCATTGATTTGTATGATTTGAAGAGCCTGACTCATAATTGGATTCGAATGACTGGCTCTGGGAGCTCTTCAGATCTGGCGGCACGAGCCGGTTTTAGCAAACTCGGGATTGCATCTGAAGTGATTCGCTCTCGGCATGCCAGCAGCGATGTGTCGAAAGGGGAGCAGATCTAACTGGAGGTATTTGTCATTTTGAAAGAATAATGCAGCTATGGCATCCGGCGGGAGATCAGTTCAATGCCATGCTCGAGGGCTCCGATCATGGCGGACAGAGAAGAGATCGATGTATAAGGCCCGCGGCAGGAGCAACGGGCCGACGGCGGCGTGCCAGAGGGCTTGGACTTGGCAGGATGACCTCACGAGGCCATGTCGCGGGGCCGCTGGGCGCCTGATTGGGCGGAGGCGGCCGGTGACAGGCCTCCTGCCTGCCAATGAGAGCGTGCTGGCGCCCACGCGTAGAGCATGGCTGGCTGAGACCGCCAGTTGACGGCCAGAAAAGGAAGCACGCCCAACCCTATCGGGGGCACGCAGACGTCCTCCGCTGATTGGGCGGCGCCCACGCTCTTTGGCACCGGATCGGGCCTAGTGGCTGCTGGGCCCATCGGACGCCAGATCTGACCTCGAATTGGCCACAAACAACGAGCCCGCACGACACGGCGCGCGCAGGCCATGCAGGCAACGCAGCGCTAGCCACGCACGGTGGAGCAGCCTGGGCCATCCAGGTCGCAGGGCCATACACCCTCACACAAGACAACCAGTGTCAACCACACCCACCACACCCCTCCAGCAGGCATGAGCCACAGCAACTCGTTCTCGCTGGGCTGTTGGGTGCGCCGCATCTCGTTACAAGCCTCATTCTCCTGAACCGGACAGACGCCCGCCTGGCATTTCCAGCAACACGTTTGCCCATCTGTAGAGAAGGAAAATCAAGGCGATTTCCGGTCGAGGCGGAGGCTGCTTCAGGCGTGGCTTGTCGCTCGCACTGCGATCCTCGATTGCCCTCGTGGACGACCAGGTTGACCCCCCTGTCATGGGCCTCATGGCCAGGTGAACGATCGCCTCCAAGGTCGCCAGGGCACACGCTCCACCAGGTCTTTGGGCCCGTAGACTCTGTTCCGTGCATGAGCACAGTCTGTAAGCTTGGACCCCTGCAGGCTGTGCATCCGGCTCCACCACCGCCGCCCGCCAAAAGCAATCATCCCCACGATCTGGAAAAATAGCACCCTGGCCCGGCGAGGAACACTGCAGGGATTGGCAGCCGATGCCAATTTCCGCCTGGAACGCGGTACCGTACATGTAGTTTACATACAGGATGGGTCCCGATCTGCTGTAACGACCCAATGTACCGCTCCATGTGCCATCGACTTTGCCTTCTGCAAGAGCCCCGATCTTCCTTTCTTCCCGCGCCTGACCAGACTATTTCTACACCATCGCTTAAACCCCTGCCATCTCAGCTTTATTATATCCACTCCCTCGGTCTCCATCGTCCCAGCTTCGAAGATCTCAGATCTAAGACTTTGCGTGGCTGGCGCGCGACAGGGAGCCATCCTTAGTAGCGCCAGTCGGCCTGGGCCAGGAGTACATACTTATCTACTGCAGTCCGCCTCTCGTCGTGACCAGTGCCTCTGAACTCTTCACCACACACACTCAACACCAGCCGACCTCGTCGCCAGTTCTTCCAATCTACATTGTCGCCAGTCGCCCTACCCAGCTGCAACACCCGACTCATGTAAGAATTGCCTCCTACATTGCCACATTCCACCCTTCCCCTCCCCCACCCAGGAGAGAGGTCGCCTGTATTTGTCGGCCTTCTGCCCGGCCTCCTCTTCCTCTGCGCTCACCCGCGCAAACGCCCTCGAATCACGCTCCAAAACCATGAGGTCTCGTTCTCTCGAGTTGTGAATCGTGTCTGACTTTTGTCAACAGCATCGGCATCACCATCAGCTCAGATTCGGGATCGCCATGGCACCGAATCACCGCCGTGGGCCTTGGGTCCCTGAGGAGGACCAGCTCCTGCTGCAGTTGGTGCGCGAGCAAGGACCCAACAACTGGGTTCGAATTTCGCAGCACATGCAGTTCCGGTCCCCCAAGCAGTGCCGAGAGAGATTCCACCAGAATCTCAAGCCAACGCTGAATCATTCGCCCATCACCCCCGAAGAGGGTATGATGATTGAGCGGATGGTGAACGAAATGGGCAAGCGCTGGGCTGAAATTGCCCGAAGACTGGGCAATCGCAGCGACAACGCTGTCAAGAACTGGTGGAACGGCAGCATGAACCGCAAACGACGAGGCTTGGCCGCCCAGAACGGTCACGCCTCCCGCACATGCAACGGCCGCGTTGAGGCGCCTTATCCGCGAGCTTCGACGGCTAGCGAACAGATGCGGCGATCCTCATGGACTCTGACGAAGCCACATGAGGACCCGAGCCCCGTCAGCGTGTCTCGACTGATCCACAAGGACACTACTGAGTCCAACGACAACTTCCGGCGCTTGGCTCCCATCTTCACCTACCCCCCGAATCATCCAGTCGAGTCTGCCATGACTTCTCCGGCATTCTCTGATGCATCGTCCCTGGAAACACCATCCATGGTGTCAGACCACAGTTCCGTCAGCTCAGCCTCGCCCAAGACGGCACCCTCACCACAATTGTTGCCGTTACCAGTGGACACGCGCCAAGCCTACGCCGAGCGTCGAGGAAGCGCGCCCGTTTTCTCCTCGCCAAACTCCACTGGTGATGAAGCCTTCTCTCTCAGTTCGTCTGATGCAAGCATCGCGAAACGATGGGGGCCTGACTCCGGTCACCACCATTCCAATTCTGTGCCCGATGCATCGACAGCGCCTCGCGAAGATCGCCCGGAGCCTGCTCGGCGACCATCGCGCGATGCGCGAATGGAACTCGACTTGTTATTAAACTGATGGAAAGCACTTTTCACCATCAGGCCCTTTTCATTTGTATTTTTTTTCCCCTTTGAGCGATACCCGGACTTGGTTTTTTGTACAGTTGGGATGATCATGAACTGGAAGGACCTTTCTACATTTCTAGCGTCTGGCGAATTTGGGATTGGGATCTGGATTTGGGCGCGCAGATTAAAAAATTTCGTCTGCGAAGCATCTTTGGCGTGGGAATTGGCTTTACGATCCTTCCCTTTTCCTTTTCTCCTCATATTATTCTTGTTTCATAATATGTATTACTGTATGTACATTGGACCATGGGCGCCAGCAGCCCAGGAAATTTTTTTTTCTTTTGTTCTATTGTTTTACAGTGGATGGGAAATGAATGAGGACATGGTCATTTTTTTTGTTGGTTCTTTTGTTTGATAATACCCATCCATAGCCGTTTTCCAATCTACCAGACCCAAGAGCTTAGTAGGTGCTGGATATGAGTTTCCATTTCTAGTACGTCGTATTCTGCCTTGGCGTCCGTTGCGGCAGCCCAATCCGACCGCAGCCACGTCACGAGGATGAAGCAAGGTCGGGGACCGGGCCCAGGCCATGTCGCTGGGCCAATATATTATTGCTTCTGGCTCTTCCAGCAGGGGGTTAAACATCAGAGTTTTGACCGCCCCTTTGCTGTCCTCTCTCCTCCAGCAGCTTTCATGTTAGTGCTGCTCGCCTGGAACTATACTGTCCACGTACGGCCATCGGATACGACTCGACCAGTATCGGGTGGAACCCAACCGGTCGTGGCACAACGACGAAATAACGCCCGGCCTGAAGGCGGCTCCCTACAGGGCATCTAGGCCAGTATTATGCGAACGGGCAATTACGCCTCTCTGAAAGCTGACGAGAACAATGCAGACACGGAGGCGGCGATTCGCCCGTTCCAGATCCAAGAGGCGGACCGGTGCAGCAACGCCCTCGCCAGGAAGGACCAGGATTGGCTCCTGCGGATTGAAATCCCTGGGACAGCTCAAGCAAACGGTCGACTCGCCCATGGAATGGAAGCCGCCAGGGAGAAGCCGCACCTTCCTCGCAGAGGGGAAAAAAAACCGTTGAGGATTTCCGGAATGAGGAGGAACACAACGGCGAAAGGATTCGCCATTCATTGCTAGCGCCCGGACCCTGAACCGAATGAATGACCATGACAGCGCCGCAATGGACACATACAATTCCCACCTCTCTTCTTTATGGACTAATATGCTACCGGTTACACAGAACTCCATGATCGAAGTAGGACGTGCGGGTGTATATCCTCCGTACCCCGCCCTATACCAAGCTTAACTGTGATGGACAGCCGGAACCGGTGCATAATAACTACGATCATACAATTCGGAGCAGGAGTACGGAGTATCAGGACGATGAGGAAAGTTGCCCTGTGGCGGGCTTTTTCGCCCCCCCCACAAGGGGCCGAAGGTCTGTTCTCCCTCCGATTTTCCGACGTTTGCGAGAGACCAAGTATCGTGTTGGTTTCTCACTCCGTGCTTGACAGTTCTTAGTCACAGGCTCACACTATGATTGTTCTATGACTTGCATCTCTTCGAGCAATCGTTACATGACGCGCACAGATCGCCGATTGCGCGAGTAAGAGGGCGCGTTGTGTGGTCAATCATGCAGGTGATTGTTTTGAAAGTTGGTCAGCCCAAAATTGGACATGTTGATATTGCGTCCAGAAGGACGCTTGCGTCTCTGATTACTGGAATTGTGATCTACTGCAAGACATAAAACGGGACTTGTACGATACTATGTCTTCGAACTTGAGAGGCAATTGGGGCCGCCAACCAGACCGTTCCGGTTTCGATGCCCGAGTCTTCATTTCTTCCCCTGGCTATGACAAGGCAGGAAGCACAATGCGAGCAACAAAATTAGGACAGGGATCCTACATGACGGGTGGACGACAGCGAGCAGCAGCAGCAGCTTTTGTGCTTGGACCAGGGTGTCGGAGATCTAACAACTCGTCTGATGCGAAGCGAGCAGGCTCGTCTCATGAGGTCCGAAGCGGCATAGCGTCCAGGCAGGTATTTGTCATTCATGCCCGTTAGCGCTGTGGGGCAACGCCGCGCCGCGACAATGGGATGGAATTTCCCACGGGCCACGGTTCAACGACCCTAACCTGATCGACCGGAACGTTGCGCAACCTTAGGCCTGCAGGCTTTCGGCCTAAGACATCGTCTCGCGTGCCAGCACATCGGTACCGGTACCCGGGGCTGTGGCTGAGTCCTCGACTTGCCGTTCTTAGTGTATGGACGGCAACGAGAAATTCAACGAGAAATTTCCTCGATGCTGGTCTAGCAGAATGCAATTCGTAGGCACCGCGTCCATCTGCCACAATTTCTGGACCTGGATGAAAAGGGAAAAAGATGAAGAATCGATATCCAGACTGGATGGGAGGGGGATGATCCCCGAGTGGCAGAGATTTCCCCAGGCACGCTTCTGCACGTAATAACTGCGAGTGGGCCGTGAACGACCGCCTGGGTCAAGGCGCCGGACAGGGGGCTATCGAGGTCGCTAGTGCTGACAGGGGTATTTTCCGGGCTGGCCAATCAGAGCATGCGTCGGTAGCATCGGAGGGCCGACGGAGGCTGACCGTCGGAGGATCTCGGTCGCGATGCCGCTAGTCCTGAAGGGGGCTAGCGTACCCGCAGACACGTCCGCGCAGGCCTGTCAGCGGCCGCTTGACGACGGCCGTTTATCCGATCTGCGGGAGGCTTAGTCATGGAGCCCCATTCGTGCTCAGGCCCCTGGTTTCCTGATTTGGCGCTATATCGCGAAATTTACGCACGTTGATTGGTCAACTTTTTTTGCGTTAAGGTTGTCTGCGGATGGAAAAAAGATACATTCTGCATGCACATCACTATACCTCCGCAGAGTACTCTGTACGGAGTACTCCATACGGAGTACTCTACTCTAAATCGGATAATTCCCCAGCAGGACAACGTTCTCTCTACGGCATGTCCGTGCGACGACTTACAAATCCTCGACTGCTCATTAATTGGTATTAATTGGTCGTTTCACACCACCTTCGGTGTGCTTATCATTGCTCACGGAGGATAAGAGAGCAACGGCTAGTGGCTAGTGCTGGCGTGAAACAAGCCATTCAGACGGAGAAGAATTGGCCGGTCCGACGTCATGCCAGCATGACATGACATAACATGACACCGCCGCCTGCGGCTCAAGTTTGACAGGAATATCATTACGTATGGAGTATGGAGTACGGAGTAGATGGATTTAGACGCTAAGTGACTGCGGAGTACGCTATATTAGTATGCGACTTCTTCTCCCGGTAAAGTCTGGGTATACTATTGATATCTAAGGATTTAGGTCTTACATAGAATATTCGCCGAACGCCGTAGAGCTTGACTAGCTGATAGCATGTAGTCTAAAATATTCTTACTATCTGTATGGAGTATGGAGGACGGATTACGTCCGACGGAGGCGGAGTACTGAGTCCTCTGTAATAAATGATCCTCCTTGCCCCGTGCACAGTGCACAGTGCACAAGGAGAATCCAGTCTATTCCCCCTTAAAATAATATTATCACTATATTACGGAGTACTCCGTATTAGTTCATCCCCAGAGCCTCCCCCAATCCCCATAAGTTTGTAAAGTTTGTGATGACTTGTAATAAAAATACGGAGTAAACCCCGAAGCACTTCGGGGTTCCAGTGGCCACGTGGGGGATCAGCCACAAAGCCCACACTAGTAACACTAACTACTACAGCCAACTTGTGAAGGAAGTTTCAAAAACTTGACACACAAAATAATAATAATGAATAATAATAATAAAATAAAATAAAATCCTCCGTACAGAGTTATTATTGTTATGTTTATTTACTTCAGTTGAACTGTGCATCCGCTGCATACTGTGCAGAGAATAGTATATAGGCTGATGACGACGACGATAGGACCTGCCAGGCTGCCAGCTGTCACGCAGTAGTTATGCTATGCTATGCTATGCTGTATGCATAACCCATACGGATTATTTTCCGTCTGGAGTACAGAGTATGGAGTACGCCCAGCACGGAGTAATAATAGCTATTTTAATCTCGACTGACTGGCCTTGCTTGGTCTTGGTCTGTGAGTGTGACTTAGCCTGTGACTTGGGGCCTGGTCTGGCCTGTGGTTTGGCTTGGCTTGGCTTTGCTTCACTACTCTCGCTGGGGGAATTGATTGATTCATGATTTATGAATTTGGGTGTTGGTTGACTCAACAATTTTTATTATTATTTAATAATGATAATTATTATTATTTAATTATTTCCTCAACATACGGAGTAACATTGTTTGTTTGCCCAACAATTCGCTAATAAGTAATTCTCTGTTTTGTGATGCGCGGTCACTATTAGCACCAGGACCCGGTACCAGCAACATTACCCTGTTCACTGTTAGATGGGGTGGATGAGATGGATAGGATGGATGATCCTGAAAACTAAACCTGCTTTCTTTCTTTCTTTCTTTCTCACTCACTCACTTACTTTCTTACATGTACAGTACCTATGACAGTTGTGTTGTAATAGTTAAACTCCATAGTAGTCGATTTCTTTAAGCGTAGACCTTAGCTCAGCTAGCTCTTATACTCTCTATAGGTACTAAATGAATAAAATAAAATATATTTTATTGAAATTTCATTCAGAGGAAGAAACTAAATTCTTCTTTTTTAGAATAATTTAAGAAAAGTGACATTTTCCGTCTTCGACTAAGTAATGTTACTCAGTTGTATCTGAGGTCGAAATATATATATATATATTTGCAGCTGTAGGCACTCCTTCGACACTTTGTTTTGGAGCAAAGTTTTTATGCATCCAGTCCAGCTCGTTTCTCTCTCTAGTAAAAAAAAATAATTTTCTTATTTTACTTTTCCTGTCAATGTTGTTTATTCATTTACTGCGTGCAGACTACATATGTATATGTATTTATTATTCATTGTTTATTGTTTTGTTTGTTTGTCTCCATTCTGGATAAATGAATGAATCAGTCTACTCACTGTAAATTGTAATATAATATTCTCATCTTTACTGTGGTCGTCTGTTGTCGTCTGGGTTATTATATATTTATTTCTCTTTCGCTCCTTTCCCCCCTCTCTTTTTTCTAACCCTTTATTAATCTATGGAGTGTTTCTTTTTTTTTCAGACGGGAAATGAAGTTGAATTTAAAATTGAACTATCGCGCATACATACTTACTATGCATATGCACTAGCTACTGCCACCGCTACCATATGTTATTAAAAAAATAAATAAACAGAAGAGGGACTTTTCCCCTATCACGACTGTGATTAGCACTTTTTCTCTGCTGTTTGGACTGTTTTCTATTTACTTACCTACTTATTTATCTACAGAGGTCAATTAGACTGTTGAATGCTGGTCCTGGTGATGGAATCCTATGCATTCTCTTCACACTCTATGCGTTTTTCTCAACCACAGGCCATCGTCAATATTGTAGATTAAAGTGAATGAGAAGATATGCACAATTAATTAGCACTGGACTGGCTGATTAGGTCCGTTCTAGCTGTGGTAAAGGCGTATCGTATTCTTCGTGACTGATAATATGCCAGCCATAAACTATGTACAGTACAATAGTAGCGTTCAACTCCGACTGAAGAGGGGTTGTGCAGTTCCTTATGTATCTGGATTCTGGAATATGGATGACATGATAGCAGCAGTGTGGGATTGACCTAGAAATGATCTGATCTGATCTGATCTGTCTGAATTGCCAGATTCTTTCCCAAGCGAGGAAGAATTCAGGCACCGCAAGAGAATCGCAAGTAGGTAACAATAATATTGATTACTGAGGTTATAAATCGCTAACGCTACCGGAATCTAAAGATTTTTCTGCTATATTCTCCTAACCTGACTTTTTTTTTTTACAACACCCGAAAATGAAGTCTGGACAGACTCTCACTGGATCTATCTCACTCACTGGCTTCGTATGTACAGTACATGTACATGTCTTTTTTTTTTTCGAGAAACGAATGAGCTTGGATGGTAGTGGAAACATTGAATCCATCCTTAGCAACCATACGAGACTTGATTTTCTTTCTAGGCGACTGCATTACATACAATGATGTTCGTTCAAGTATAAAGAATCAATGATCAACGTCAATTCTAGGAGATAAGATATCATATCTATCTCGATGATTTTTGCAGCCCAAATTAAGAAGAACTCACTGCTTTGTATATTACTATAAACTCTAACGGTAATATTAATAGGAAGTGGGAGATGAAAGAGATGACAACCTCACATTCTATTTTTTTGAGGCTGACTATATATACAGCGCCGCTTAATTAGCCTGCAATGCACGTAGTAGTAGAGACTGTATTCCTGTTTCTAATGCTGCTGGATTCTGCTGCTTTTGACATTCGCAAAACGAATATTTACATCTGCAGTAACCTTCTTCTTTGATTTCTCAATCCGAAAGCCCTATAATAGTCGAGAATTCTGCTTGAAATAGTTGCTTTTCGTACAGAAAGCTGCTAGCTTATAGCCTTACCTGCAGGTCGTTCAAGGGACAATTTCATCAAAACGCAGCAAGTGGATTGCCATATATATATGCCAGGCCTTGAAGGAGATAGATTGCCCAAATCGTCTGCTCTGCTCTCCAATTCCTCGTTCTGTTTCTATTTCCACGCCCACTGTGTTCGCGTTACCTTTATTTTGCAATATTACTGTCTTATCCCCCCTCATTTTTTGAAAAGTCTAGACTGAGAACGAGGTCGAAATTGCTTCGTATAGATACATACATACACCATCTGAAGGTAACCTGCAGGTAATCCAATATCAGTAATTTATCACCTACAACAAGTCTCGCTTATTCAGAACCGTCCTTCGTTCCTTTCTTGAAAATGGTCCTGTGTTATTGCTATTTCGTTTGCCATTTCCAGCTCCTGCTTCTTAGGCACGCCCGATCTGCTCCGACCAGTCAATGCCTTGCTATCAAACTATTACTCTTTTAGAGGCGGAAATCCAGGTCCATTCTGACTGGGCGACGCCTCTCAGGATCTGCTCGGCCGTTAGGATTAGTGCTGGATATAGCGCCACAGCGTCATAGTGCTTCATGCCATGCGCCTTCAGCTGCAAGTCAGGCCCCCAGCACAACTTGTTTAGTCCAATTGCAATCGGCCTAGATTGAATAATCACCATCCTCCACAGATCAGCGCATGTCCTGTTTGCTAGCTAGGATCAATCCTGGTCTACTGGGAGGACACTCAAATAATTGGAAATGCGATTTGGACACCAAATCTACATATCTTGTGGCGGACAATCTCCTCATGCCAGGATCTTGCCTGCAAACTCTTCTAGCTTTGTGACAAGCCCATCCGTCCAGCTGAGATGCGGCGAGTGCCCCGTGGGGGCGCTGTACATGGTGAACGGCCGGCGGTTTCTCTGGCTCTGCAGGGCCGCCATGGCCTCATGATACTCCTTTGGCAGCGTCTGGTCGTGCTCGAGCACCAAGTAGGCGCAGGGCAGGGCAGAATAGGCGTCATTGGTCAACTTGACTCGCCGACATCGAGTTTGCTGAGGTCACAGGACGGGCGCTGCTGGCAGCGGGCATCGATTCCGTGCCTTCAAGGCCTGGGCAAAGGCCCAAATAGCGCAGGAGTGTGATAGGAGCCGTGGCAGATCACCACGGCATGGCTGGCGGTTGCAGACATAGCGCAGAGGGGCGTGGTCTATAGTTCGATCGATGGAAGTTGGCCGTTATGAATGCGAATTCCCCGCTTGAGCTCTTTATGGCTGTTGAATGTTGCTGTTGGCTGTTGGCTGTTGGTTGGTGGCTTTGCTAGCTCGCTAGTGACATGACGACTGCTCGCTGCTATGCAGCCTCCTCACTAAATCCGTTCTTTAGGCAAGTGCTATTTCCGATTCAGCCTCATCCTGTTCCCTTGGACCATGCAAAGAAGCAAACGGCTGTAACTTTGCGGCAGTTTGAGAGATACGAAATGCTTGTTGCACGAACCTGATGATGGTATTGCACTCTCAATAAGAGCATGGTGGATATCGTGAGGTTGAATGTCGTATTCAGCATTCGACCTATTCAGCCAGCATGAGGACTGCTGCTTAAGCTAGGTCTCGAATTATATTTATCCGTTATATTTTTTCTAAACCAGCGGTAACCTTCACTTCACTTGGTGAAGGCAGAGGTCAAAAATCATTGTTGAGTCACATCTCATAACTGAAAGATATGTGATGGTAAAGCAACGGTGAAAGTGACTAGCAACCAGACAAGCTAAACATCAGACTGAGCTAAGGACAATCGCCTTGGATGACCATTGTTATCATACCCAATCGAGTAAAATTGAAGGCAAAGCAACTGCCGCCCCCCTCCACCCGAGACCGCGCTTTTCCTAATCGGGGCCACGAAACTCGGCAGCTGCAGGTCAACTCTCGGTCAGCTTGCTGTTGTTGACTGCAACAAACAGTCTTCTGGCAGACCATCTTCCCCTCTTTTATCCTATTATTATTACGACAATTGGCTTATCTTTCTATCACATTGATGACTTTTTAGCTTTTGGTTTTGATTTCGTCTTACATCGGAAGTGCGCCCACCATGGAGGTGGCGAGTCTTCAACAACCCTCTCTACAGCCTCAACCATCCAACGATGCAAATCCTCCTCCTAGTGCCGTAGATGGCTCGATGGACATTGATATGGACATCGACCTGGGTCCCATCCCGGAACCAGAAACCGTCGAAACCGTGAGTTCCGCCGACCTCAACCTCGCGTGATCCGTCTTTAACCGTGAGGAGCAGGAAACCCTCGAACCAACCGCCGCTCCTCAGGACGGCACCGTCGATCCTCTCACTGCAGAGGCGCAATATGAAAAGGTTCATATCCGAGGCGTGGACGAGTTGACGACGGATGACCTCAAACGATTCGCTGCGGAGCATTTCCCCGTCGAGGAGCCGACTCGCATCGAGTGGATCGACGACACGTCCGCAAACTTTGTCTATTCCTCGGAAGAAGTGGGATTACAAGCTCTGAAGGCGTTCTCCCAGCTGGGTGAAGAAGATGTCTCGTCCTTTCCGTCGTTGCGGCTGCGCACAGCCAAGTCCTTATCCACCCATCCGGAATCTGTTCTCCAAGTGCGATCTGCCGTGAAAACAGATCGCAAGAAGCCCCGCGCACACGAAGCCAGTCGATTTTATCTGTTGCACCCAGAGCATGATCCCCGAGAGAAACTGCGACGCCAGCTGGCGGAGAGGAGGCGACAAGCCCGACGCGACGACAGCAATGGGGATTACAGACGTCGCCGGTTTGACGAACGCGAACACCGTCGCCGACGGCGAGATGAATCGTTTGCTGCGAACATGTATGATGACATGGATGGTAGTGATCGCCGTCGTGGTGGTTCGAGCGAGGACTTCTCCGATGCAGAAGGTCGTCATCGGCCCAGGCGAGGTAGGCAGAAGGAATTGTTTCCTGACCATGGGCCCGAGCCGGGGCGGCTGCGCGATCGCAGTGCTTCTCCAGGCCGGAATGATCTGAATGGCATGCGGAGGAGCGACGACGAGCGGCAGGACTCTCGCCGACGATTCCGGGAGCGATCCCCTCAGCTAGGCAGCAGCCGCGCGAATGAAGGAAAAGAACTTTTCCCGTCGAAATTGTCGGGAGACGGAGATTCTCAGAAACGGGAGCTCTTCCCGAACAAAACCGTCGACAGCTATCTGAAGAAAGAGCTGTTCCCCAACAAGACCTCTAGTAACCATCGGCGATCGGATGCATTTGATGCGGCTGATGAGACGGCGGATCTCTTCTCCAAGCGGATTCATGTGTCGCTAATGGATGGAGCTCGAGATCGGGCTGACGTCGGAGAGTCTGGGGAGGCTTCGGGGATCAGTATTCGAGGCGCGGCGTCGAATGGTCAAGGAATATCGATTCGCGGATCCGCGAACGGGATCTCCATCAAGGGGAGCGCGAGTGCTTCAGTGAGGGAGCTTTTCCCGTCAAAGTATAATCCAAATGCAGGCAAGGAGCTGTTCTCGGACAAATTAGAAGGTAGAGGAGGGCGGCGACGCAAGGCGGAGGATATGTTTTCTTGAGGTGGAGCGACAGAAAGTCTGGAATGAGAGGTATTTCACCATCCTCTATCTACAACTATTGAATTGGGGGAACTTTTGGCATGGTTTATGGGTACAGTGATCATGGCGTTTAGATATGTCTTTTATGGCTATGGAATGAACTGCAAATTCATGAATTCCTGTCGTATATCTGATTACCATCGCGAGATACCCGGAAATCTCCTGAACTCTATCTCTATTTTGGTTTTTATTTGATTGATATTATTATAACTGGCATCAGGTAGCTCGCTGAATAGTTTCCACGTGACGTCTCCACTCACCAATCACCATTCATTACGCTTCCTATTCCTGGACAATAATCTACATCCATTTGTATACTGGAATAATAATAGTCATCATAATAACCACCTCCTTAATAATAATGACAATGCCTCAATCTACAAATGGCGGCTCGTCATCATCATCTTCTTCTTCCATCCCCCTAGCCAGCCTCCTCGTTGCCCGCTTCCTCCGCTACAACAACTATGCCGCCACTCTAGAAACCTTCATTCGAGAAGCGGGTCTTCCGCCTGATGCGGGGAGCGCGAGCACAGAGCAGAACGGACGAGGAGGCAGATATGAGTACGACGACTGGACGCTCGAGGGCGTAATCCAGGAGAAGAAGACGTTTGATCAGAGTTTGAGGTTTGAGCGGTATGGTGATGATGATGACGATGATGGAAGGAAGAGGGACAGGTGGAGCGTTCCTGGTGAGTATTATTTACTACGCCTATATAGCTCTACATTGATCTAGATCATGTATATATATGTTATGTTATATATATACATATAATATGTTGTGTATCATTGGCATGATTGCAGTATACGCGTGTTTGAATCTGATTAATGAACGAATCAGCGAATGAGTGGTATTTGCACTGTTGAATTGAATGAAATGGTGTAGCGATGAGCTGTTTTGCCTTTTTGCGATTTTTATCTTGCTTGGATGATAAGGGGATTTTTTTTAAGATGGATGTTTTCTTCGCTGATATCCCACGACCTGGGTGATGTTTGTATCGATATTTAATGTTGCCTTTCATTATCTTCTTCGATGTAGTCCTATTTGTTTGCCAACTTTACTACTCTGTGTCTACTGTACTTATGAGTCCTACTGACGTATATATAAAGCGCCATCGAAACCGACCCTCGTCGATACCCCCGGCTCATCGAATCTGCTCTCCGTGTCCGTTGAGCCATGGCAGCAGCAGGAAGAGCAGGATGATGTTGGATCGTATCTCGTCGCCACCGCAGCAGACAAGAGCTTGAATCTCTTCGACGTCGGCCGGAGCAATCAAGTTGTTGCATCGCTGTCGGGACTTTCCGACTCTCCCATCTTGTCCTATGTCTCCATCCGAGGAGGAAGATACCAGCTCGCGACGAGCATGTCTGGACAGCTCCTGCTGATCAAGAATGCCGAAGTGCTGGATCGGAGAAAAGACCACAGCAAGTACGCCGTCAAGGTGGTGGCCTATGAAGACGAAGACGAAGACGATCGAGTTTGGATCGTCACTGCGGGCTGGGACGCCAAAGTTCTGATCTACCGTATGACTTTATCGTCATCGTCTCCAACGACAATCGGCCAACCAGTAGCAACGATCAAGCTCCCCACAAACCCGGAATCGATTCTGATCGTGCGCAACCCAGACTCAAGAGAGCTGATGCTCCTCGTCTCACGCCACGATTCGACATACATCTACTACTATGCGCTGGAGCCATTGCGGTCAAGCGAAGAGAATCAGCAGCAGCAACAGCAGCAGCAGTGCGAATGCGTGCTGAGAGGCAAACAGAACCTCGCACCGCACTCCAACGCGTGGATCGCCTTTTCGCCTTCGTGCATGGCCCCGAGCCCGCATGATCCCGGTCTCCTGGCCGTCGCGCTGTCGACTCTTCCGCACATGAAGGTCATGATCGTGCGATTGTTGTTCCCGTCGTCAGATAGCGTCGACAACACCGCTGCTGCTACCGCTACTGCGACAGCTGAGCCCGCAGCATCGTCATCGTCATCATCGACACAAGAGACCCATCTCTCACAGGCACTCGCGGCCCTGTCCCTTCAGAACCGCGAAGACGCAGCCATCGTCATCCAGGCCAACACGTTCGCGCCACAAACCGCCTACTCGACGCCACAGGTAGTCTGGCGACCAGACGGGTCCGGTCTCTGGGTCAACGGCGACGACGGCGTGATCCGAGGCATCGAGGCCAAGACGGGGAAGGTGGTTGCCATGCTTAAGGACGGCCACGAGGCGGGCAGTAAAGTGCGCAGTATCTGGGCGGGATGGGTCAGTTGCAGTGCCGATTCCGGTTCCAGTAGCGAGGGCAAGGAAGATAATAAGAAGGAAGAATGGGTCGTCAGTGGTGGGTTTGATAAGCGGTTGGTTGTTTGGAGGATATGAGGTCGATGATCAGCTGTTTCAGTGATAAAAAGGGGGAAAAAATGTAAAAAGTATAAGTGGTAAGAGCGTGGGGGAAAAAAACCCTTTCACTCAGTGGAATTCATTTAAATCATACAAGGTGATAAAACCAAAGAACTGTTGCGCACGCTTAGTCAAGTACAAACGTACGAAGAGAGCATGGGTTGTTCGAAGAAGAGAAAGACTTCAATGAATTGTAATTCTACATGTTGCTGTGAGTCGGTATGTGGATATTTACATGAGATAATCTATTTCAGAGCGGCCTGCAGAGTCTCCAACACCTAGAATTGCGCAGTCAGCATCCAACACTCGCCGGAACCAAAGACAGAAAGGCCAATGGGCCCATATTTTATTGATGACAGGGAAAACATACCTCAAGCTCGATCTTGGCCTCAGCAATGTCCTGCTCGCTACCGCTGCCGTTGGCAATCTTCTGAGCCTCGGCGATCTGCGCCCTCACGGCCTATTGCACCAGAAAAAACACATTTAGCAATCTGTCCAACGCTTTTGTGTCACACATGGTACATGGTACGAGTACTCACGTCGGCGGAGAAGTCCTCCAGAGGGAAGGCCTCAACAGCGTTGATGCTGAGCTCAGAGTTGGGCTGGACAACGGCAAAGCCTCCAGAAACTACCAATCGAGTCAATGGTCAGTCGAACATCCGGCTATTATCGCCTTCCCGGTATTTTCATCAATTTCCGTTGATCCGGAGTCGGGTCACGTACGGAAGAACTTCTTGCTGCCACCGTTTTCCTCGATGATCTCAACAACGCCGGGCTTCAGCTGCTCGATGGATGGGACGTGGTTTGCGAGGACACCCATCTCTCCGGTCTCGGCAGGGATGTTGACCTGAACACTGTCGGCAGAGGAACGCGGTCAGCACAACGTCAACGGGCTGCAGGATTCACAGGCACAAACATACACGCCTGTCGACTTGTAGATGGCCTAGAACACATTCTAGTTAGCATTGCTTGTCTTCAACAGCGGTGACCGGCCACAATTGGAGTCGATGTCATACCTGGTGAGGCAGGGACAGGGACAGCTTGATCTTGTCGGAAACGGCGTCAGCGTAGCCTCTGCGCTGGAGAGGCACACGCAGGGCAGCAGGGCGTGCCCGGAGGGCAGCCCGAGCGAACCGAAGAGAGCTCATGATGCAATGGGTTGAAGGAGAAGGCGTTGCAGAGGGGGTATCCTTCAAAAGCTGAGTTGGTTTGAGGAACGGTCGAAGTCGGATGCCGCAGCGTCCTAGCCCGATGAGCGGCTTGGCGGCACGTGATTGAAGACAAGCACATGTATGTACAGAGTACTACTAAGACAGAGTACTGCGACAAGCAACTAACAAATATGCGGCCTTCTACTACGGACTATCACAGCAATTAGAGTAGATTGATTCAGACAATGCAAATAATGAAATATATTGTATTTCAAAAAGATTTTTTTTGAAATGGGGAGACATATTTCAGACTATCAATACCACGATATTCTACTAAAAGCACCATAGTCGCTCGGCCAATTATCATACTCTACGACAGCCAAGCCAAGCAAACGTGCCGAAATACTCCCTACTATTAATTAATATTGACTGCAGGCAAGCATGGAGAGATATCTATCGACTATGCAGCCAGTACAAGTATCGAAATAGAATATCTCAGATCACGTGATTTTAGCGAATAAGCCCGGCCTATTCTTGAAGTTTTTCCAGTGCAAGTCAATGATAATATCATGAAGTAGAAATAGCCATGAAGACGTTTAAAAGATTTTAGAGATTATTAAATACTGTCTGGCAGCAATTAGATCACAGCGCTTGACTGGCGCAGAGTATTCAGGGTTGAAGACGGGAGCGACCTGCTGGAGGGCCTGAGGCAGCCGCCCTCCTAAGCGAGATCCCACACAAACGCAGCCCTGAGCCCTAGCCGAGCCGGCTCGCCTTCGGAGACGTCCTTAGTCGACAGACTTCTTGCTTGATCCCAGTTCCAGCGACCGACATCACCAGTTCAACGTCAATCTCTCACATCGCGACACATCCGTCAAGATGGCCAGTACGTATCATCTTACTGAATTCTTTTCACCGTCATGAGGATCCGACTGCTGCTATTGGGACGATGCACTAACTGGACATTTTTCGCGTTTTACAGAGTCGAAGAACTCGTCTCAGCACCACCGGAACCGCAAGGATCACCGGAACGGGTGCGTCAGATGCCAATCCTCTCTTGCAGCTTGATTTCATTCGATTTGCAAGATTACGATGGACGAGTTAATTTGCATTGTGGTGAAAGACAAGCATACTGATTCCCTGATTTGTGCTACAGTATCAAGAGGCCTAAGACGCACCGTTACCCCTCGCTGAAGGGCGTCGACCCCAAGTTCCGCCGGAACCACCGACACGCCCTGCACGGCACTATGAGGGCTCTGGTACGTGAAGTTTGATCTTGTTTGAATCCCGGAAGAGGAACACATACATGCAGACCATACGAGATGACGACCACACGCGCGGGATGTGTAGTTCAGAACTAACGATTCGTACAGAAGGAGCGCAAGGAGGGCAAGCGTGAGGTCGCATAAACTCGAAAACTACTTCTGAAAAGAAAATCGTGGGCGATAAAACAAAAAAAAATTGCTGTGATGCGATGTGTCATGATGTCAAATAGGCCTAAGCCTAGGGCTCCCTAACAACAATTCGACTTGGAAAATTGCTGGGACGAGCTTTTTTCCCGAGATGGATGACGGTTGACCTGATCCTGACTTTGGTATTTTTTTTGCGCGACAACAAACGGCCTGGGATCTAGAAGGAAAAAAGGAAAAGGAAAGGGGTTTCTTTTTTTTCTCTGATACCATGTCCGCGGACAGTTGTCGAACGCAAAAAGAATGACAAAAGAAAGGAAACATTAATAATTGAAGTTTTTGTTTCTCCTCATCTCTGTGACAAAGTCAGTGATAGATCCGCATCGTCATCGTCAATCGTCGATCGATCGATAGATCGAATTCGCGACAATCCTCTCCCTTCCCTTTCCCAATCTCTTTCTTTCTTGTTTCGCTTTCTTTTCTTTTTCAAGAAACAGGCATAAGTGTGTACAGCTTCGTGGCAAAACTCCCCATGCCCGACTGCTGAAGGATGTTTTTTCGTGCCGAGATCAGTCCCAAAGAGGCCTTTCAATTACCAAACACCCTCTCCCTTGTTTTCCGTGGCGGGAGGGTGCATGGACGGAGGGCTACATGCATACATAGATACACTACGTTGCATTTTTTTTGTATTTTTCGTAGGTTCGATAGTGAAGATGATCCGGTTTCTCTACTATAGATATCTATATCTTTCTCATTCTGAAGGTCCGGACCGGATCTTGGTTTGTCTCCAAAATTTATAAGAAGGGTGATTGATTGATTGATTAATCATAATAGCATGTTTCAGCTCAATTCATCGCGATATAGAGAGAAATTTCTTCATACAAATACACTCTGTACACTTTGTACACAGCGCAATAAAAGTACTCCGTAAGAATGAAAAAAAGACTGCCCTCGTGGAGATAGATACACCTCAGAGATGATCCTCTTTTATCCATCCACCCAAATGACCCGAAAGAACAAAAAAAAAAAGAAAAGACACGTGCAAACATGGGGAGCATAACTGAGAAAGGATAAACGAAAAGAACGCATCGACATAATTTAAGGAAAAACAAGACATGAAGCATGAGACGAAGCGAGAACATAGTGACATGCATGCATGGAAAATGAACAAATCAATAATCAAAATCATGAATCAAGGACGCCAGGAAAGCATAACTCATCAAGCACGTACATACATACGTAAACAGAAAATCATTCATTCCGCTCATCAACATACCTGCCCATACCTTGATCCAATATACTGGAAAAGCCAAGCCAAAGGAAGGTTGCCACCGCCAGTTTTCCATTATTTTCGTGAGACATTCGAATGTTCGTGTCAATGTGCTTACAATAGTAGTAGGAGTCTTGTGGTAAACCCGTAGAACTCAGCTGATTAGGCCACCCTCTCAGGTGAATTCCACGCTGTGTTGTTGCTGTTGTCTTGCTTGTCGCGCCTGAGCACGCTCAGCTCGCCGTCTCCGTCGGTTGCTGGCATAGTCAGCGCTGGCTTCGGTCCCGGTCCAGGTGCCAGGGGATGTGATACTGCCAGCCCCGTAGGGCATGCTCGACGGAGGAGGAGGAGGGACAGAAGCGTTGCTGGGTACTGGTTGAGTCCCCGGTGCAGACGCCGTTATTCCACTGGCAGCTCCACTGGGTGCCCCAGCAGCAGACCCAGCTGCAGCAGCCTCTTGTTGTCGCTGAATCTCTTCCGCTTGTCGACGCTCCATTTCCTCGACCCGGCGCCATCTATCGGAGCTTCCTTCGTTGCCGGACAAAGAGCTGACGCTGCCGCCACGGCGGCGTGAGCCCCTTCTCTCCCTTTCTCTGCGTCTCGCTTCCCGGCTGGCTGCCGCCTCTTCTTCAGTGAGCCTTCGAAGAGTGACGTGCCGGCCATCATTGTGCATTTTCACCTTGACTGACATTGACGGCGACGACACATCGTCACGTCGCCACCTGCTGCTACTCCTGCGACGGCGATGCCGTCCTACAGAGGACTCTGTGGCTGCGCCTGCTGCTGCTCCAGCAGCAGCTCCGGCGGCAGCTCCGCCGGCGGCAGTTTCCAACTCAGTAGCAGTTACACTACCAGGTTCATGACCATGTGCAGGTGGAATGGGTGGTGCGTCCGCAGCTGGTGCATCATTGACACCCCCTGAAACGACAGGCTCGCCAGAAACGACAGATTCTCCTGGCGGAGGGCTGGCAGGTCGAGGCGGATGGGGCGTGACATCCGTTGGAGTCATGTCAGTCGATAAAGCAGAGGTTGTACGCCTTGCCCTTCGAGGGAAGAACCCATCTCCCGTGTACTTCCGCTTGCTGTTTGCCCTTGCAAGTCTTTCTTCCTCGATGTCTCGACGACGTATCTCCTCTACGCGCCGTTGCTCCTCCTCTTCCGTGCGACGTCTGAAAAGGTTCCTGAAAGCAGCAAAAGGTCCTGCTCCAAAAATGCCGTCTCGCTGGCCACGGCCACGGCCTTCGTCGGTTTGAGTGTAGGTTTGAGTGTAGTAGCCGCTGCCGTAATCCAAAGAGTCACGACTCGGACGCCTGCTCGGTGAGTGGTAACCTGATGCAGTACGCCCTTCTTCTACCCGGCTTAGGGTATAATCAGTCAGACTGTCACTGCGTGCATGGGCCGGTCGGTAACGTCCCGATTCGGTGTCACTTTCCCGTTCTAGCCTTCTGTCGAATAGACGCTTGAACAGAGCTGCACCGCAAAGGATGGCGAGAATCTGGAGCAATCGTCTCCCCCAACCACTGTGATGCGGCTCCTCAGAGTACTTCTCGTCCACATAAGAAATAGTCGAGTCGCCCTCGACGTAACTTCGGGTTTTGCTGCGCGACCGGCGCCGGAAGAGCTCTGCCAACCCTGCACCTGCAGCGGCGGCGGCGGCTGTACGGCCCAGACTGCTGTGGCGTCTGTCATCGACAACCGACGGCCCGGAGATGTAACTTCCACGACTGTCGTAATCGGATTCAACGTGACGTCCATCACCGTCGTACACGTAAGACAGCACGAAAAATATGGCGAGCAGGCTAAACGCGCCGATAGAATAGAGGATGAACAAGGATTTAGGGGAACCATATAGGGTCAAACCAAGAGGAATTTGGACGATTCCCAAAATCGCGCACGCGCGACCTATCCAATGATGGATCTGAGGAAGGAATTTAGTTTCTCGTGCGGAAGGCTGGATTCGTGGGAATAACATACCATCATTGCCAGAGGCACACGATACGTCCTCATTCCTTTCGACAATTTATGGATCAGCCAACCCCAGAAGACCTGGAAGACGACCAGAACATAGATGGCAAGCCCAATTCCATGGTGTGGATTCGTCAGCGTTCGCTTGGGCCCGACCGCAAAGTAACCCAACACAAAGACGACAGTTGTAAGCAACAGCGTCATGACGTGGAGCCATGCGTGCAGTTTGAATGCCCAGTACCGATCAAACAGAGAGTAATACCGGACGATTAAGATGGCTGCAGGAACCAAGCCCAAGAACACGATCGTTGCTATGACGCCATGAGCTACTATTAACCCATGATAACCTGCCATCTCTCGGAAGCGGTTTCCCATGCCTGAACCACGTCAGCAGATGGCTACCGTCATGATATACCGTCAAGAACATACCATTGTACCGCATCGTCTCAAAGTTGAGTCCCATCAAGTTGGGGAGGAGAAAAGTATTGCGCGTAATGTCCCATGTTCCATCCCCCACGTACATTGTATCCGAGGTATAGGTGCTGCTCCCCGGCGGGGTGAGATCTGGATTGGACGCCATGGCTTGATCGTTAAGGTATTTCCTGGATCTTTCACTATTGAGATCTCCACCTGATCGATTGTCTCAGTTCGAGGAATGCTGAGTCAGCGCAGGAGATCTCGCAAGATCCCCCACTCCAACGAATGCACCATGCGACGTCAAATCGGGAGGTTTGATACTCGTGGCCTCAGTGCTATATGTCCAAGGTGACTGGAGGATCCGAGGAGTCGGAGAACTGCTGTTGCGATTGATACTGATAGTCGATGCCTCGCAGCCAGGTAAATAAGCGGGGAAGATGGTTCGAGGGATGCGGAGTATATGAGACGGAAAAAGGAAGATGTCCAGTCCACGAAAAAGGGACTGTAGGCAAACGAGGACATCCAAAGGTACAACAGAATCGAAGAGCAGGCCAGATTGGGGACCAAACAGACAGCCTCCCAGTCGTGGGCGCAAGCTAGCTGCGGTGACGAGGACAACGGTTTGCTGTTTACGGTTTAGGGCGACAACGCATAACCCGGACAACGGGGGAAATTCGTGCCGTGGATGCCTGGCCCGCTGCCTAACCAGACTTCCTGCCTCAGGCAGCGGGTTAATAATAGAAGGTTATCAGGCGCTATCAGCCTTATCGGTGGACTCCCAGTGGAGCTGACGCCATCGCGCCGTCCGGTCACGCTTCTCGACTACTCCGTACACCGCCCATCGGAGGCCCCTTGTCAACACTTGACAGCCTTTCAACGCCAATTCGATCGACTTTACTCCGGAGTACATTTGAGCAGGAAGCTGTTGAGTCGCCATGGGGTCGCCGCCATTATTTGTGGACGTTCTGTCACGGTATATACCTCTTCCTGGATAATGTCAGAGTTGCTTGTTGATAACTGACTCCGCGTGGCGTGCAGCTTGATAGGATGGACCTAGTACGTGGAAAGAGGACCCCGTGCCGACTGATATGATTGTGCTAATGTATATCTCAAAGTATGCTATGCTGGTCGTTGTCTTTCTACCCACAGCCGATCCAAAACTTTCGTCGCCGGTCCACCACCGGTCTCGCGATCGACTTCCCGACAATCAACTGTCTTGGCTTCGTTTGCTACACCATCTACGCGGCATCTTTCCTGTATTCGCCACTGATCCGAGAGCAATACGCGGCTAGGAATCCCGTCTCTCCGGAGCCCAGCGTGCGCTTCAATGACTTGGTGTTTGCGGTCCATGCTGTGATCCTCAGCGGCATCGTCTACTCGCAATTCTACCCGCAGATCTGGGGGTTCAAAGTATCGCGATACCAGCGGGTGAGCAAGCCTGTGGCTGGACTGTTTTGGGGTTCGCTGCTGGCCATCGCGATCCTGGTCCTGATCGTCTGGACCCAAAGTCCAGATGGTGGACGCGACCCGTCCTCCTGGGCGTGGATTGATGTTGTACGTGGCCGACCAGAACTGGAAAATAAGGTGATTGCTGACCTGCAACCGGTAGCTCTATGGAATCTCCTACGTGAAGCTCGTCATCACGGTTGTCAAATACGTGCCCCAAGCATGGGTCAACTACAAACGCAAGTCCACCGTTGGGTGGAATATCTGGCAGATTCTTCTTGACTTTGCCGGGGGTGTGCTGTCGATTGGCCAGTTGATTTTGGACTCGGCCTTCCAGGAGGACTGGAGCGGTGTGACGGGGAACCCTTTGAAGTTCCTGCTGGGGAACATCTCCATTCTGTTTGATCTGTTGTTCATGGTCCAGCACTATATTCTATATAGAGAACGGGCCGACGATACGGACAACCGTAAGACCACGGACCTGAGGACACCGTTGCTTACGAGTGCTGGAGAGCTGCCCCGGTAGACACAGCCCCTGGAGGGTGGTCGCGAATGGGTCTATAAATATCGAGTGTTGTACAGTGCAGTTACATTCGCACTCGCAGGACACACAATATACTCACTTGATTGGAATGTTTAATACAATTTCAGCAATGCTGGATGTCCTATCGGATCTGATCCCTCCATCTGCTGAAAGACTGGAAAGAGAGGGCGTCAGCAGCATTACAATCCCTTGATCGAAAACAGTAGATCACTTCTGTTTCTGATGGGCTTACTTACGAACCGTACAGCCTGTCCAGAGGGAGTCAGATGCTCGTCGGTATGAGCAGAAAGTGATTTCTACCTGTGCACGCCCCCTCGATGACTCCATATACCCCCTGTTTTACTTAATTAGGTAAGGATGTGAAATCACGTTTCCCAGGGAAAGTAATTATTACTTACTCCGTATGTTTAATATCCTGGGGCCCAGGGAGAGCTTACCACAAATCGTATAATTTCAGGGCTTAACTAGAATAACCTAGGCGGGGTGGACGGAGTCATCGAGGGGGTCGCCGGAGTATCCGCGGATCAACCGAATCGGATCCGATGGTCAATCTGCCAAACATCAGCAGCTTAACAATCACTAGATCAAAACAACACCAGCAGCAGCAACAACAAAACGGTAGATCGCTTCCGTTTCCGGCCAGCTTACTTACGTACACCCTGCTGTCGGCATTCAGCCCTACGGACATGCCTGCATCACGCTCTCTTGATCAGCTGGAGAAGCCCGACTGGCGATCCCAACACCTTGCTGGCCCAAGGCGTCGCCATGATTGGCCACCGGGTCAGTTACTTGCAGAGACGATAAACGCTCAGCCGCAACCGCAATGCTAACTCGAAAGAGACCCTCACCGCCACGTTGCTGGGCGTGGATGGCCAAAGCGCTTTGTTAGGTTACCTCCGGGATGGGGGCAGCAATTATGGGCATGCATTGATTTGTGCGGTTTCTCCCGGACAACCAGACGGGTGTTATTATTATAATACTCCGTATGGAAATGGACATGGAATCTCTGGAACACGTCGAGAAAAAATTGGAAATTGGACAATGAAACAGCAGCCTGCTGCGACGAGATTGGCCAGCCCTACGTCTCTTGGCGGTGGTCGCCATGCAGAATCTGGCAAGCAACTGCGCCGGCTGCAGCATACCTGGTAGCGTCTGGGCTGTTCTACACCACGGACTTTCGGTGAAGGCGTGCCCAGGCGCTTTTTAGTTATTAGTGGTTCGATCTGGTTCGCCAACCCTATCTCGAGTCCCCGACAGGCTGCAATTCGGCTATCATCGATAGTAAGAATGATCGCCATTCTCGCCTTTTGCTGCTGCGCATCTGGGGTGAATTTGAGTTTTGACCCATGAACGGAGCCCGCGCTTGTTTCGAAGAATAATGTCTTAGTATAAGAAAAGACGATATCAAATCCCGTGCTTTTTTCCAGCATGGTCTTCAGCTGTGATGATGACGCTGACAAAACAACATACAGAGGGCGCTGTCGCACTTCTTGCCCTGAAAAGGAAAGAATGCCAGAAGCATGTCTTCATTCTGGAACAATAGGGTATCTGGCCTGTAGAGACCAGCAATCAATTCATGAATCTAGGCTTTGCAACTGACCTGGCGGAATATGTTCCGCTACTTACTGCTGGTCTCGACTTCTGATTCGTTCGTTGGTCACCAATAGTCTCTCTTTTTTTAGACGAAAGATAACAGGTCGAGGTCAATGTCGCAAGAATTAGTCAGAGCAGGCTGTGATGAATCGGGACAACAAGGTTCCAAAGCCGCCGACGATGGCATTGTCGGAGCTAAGCCCTCCTAAATGCCGTAAACGGGCAGGGCATGCAGACAGCAGCAGAAAAACTAATCAGCCCTGGAGAAGCGCCAGCTCGACGGTTGGTCCCCAGCCTTGGGACCGGACCCCGGGGCCTATCGCTGTGCGGCACGCGGGAAAACAGCCCTATCGAGGTCCGGGGTCGTGGTTGGACCCTTGCTCGATGACTCTCCCGATGCAGCTGAGCCTGAGCATCGTCATTTTCGACCCCTACCGGCATATTTATAAGGGTGTTGGTTGCTGTCGACCAGATCCATGAACGCTGATTCCTGCCCAGGCTTTGCAGTTCACGTCTGAGCAGATACCTTAGAGATACACGTGTGACCGATCCCTGTTCCTCTTGATATTCCGCTACCTCCGACTCTGCCTCCATGCATCGATCCGTCTTCTCTGAATATCCTCCCCCTGCGTCCTTGAGCGGCAGTCCATACATCCTGGAGATGTCGGACTTTTTCGCGTACCAGGCCGAGAGAGCTCTCGAAGACGACAGCGAAACCGCCCAGAGTCTCTTTTCGGACCTGGCGTTGCAGTCGACCTGCCAGCCACTGTCGATGGCTCCGGGAGATTTCAGCACTGTCTCTGGAGCAGGCTACTGTGTCCTCGATCCATCCCTGAGTTTTGCGCCGTACACAGGATCCCAAACGGCCGGCACTTATGATGAATCAACGTTATCATCGAACTACTTTCTGGAAGAGCCTCTGGCGCATCCATACACCATGCCATCGAGTCCGTATCTCGATGCGGATCTCACGCAAGTACATCACCACCAGCAACCCCATGTGCAACTGCAATCACAATCACAATCACAATCACGACGACAGCAACAACAACGGACCCCTCACAGCCCATCGTTGCGATCAGAATCCCCCGACACAGGAGACCTGACAAACTACGGGATCCGAAACGCAGATGGGACCTGGCGCTGCGCGCATGTTGGGTGTTCGTCAAGGACGGTGTTCACGCGCGCCTGCGATCTGCGCAAGCACTTCAACCGGCACAACAAGTACCTTTTCTGCCGCTACGAGGGCTGTCCCCAGGCGACGGAAGGGGGCTTCTCGAGCAAGAAGGACCGGGCTCGACATGAGGCCAAGCACAATCCGGAGATCAAGTGCGAATGGAAGGGGTGTGGTCGAGTGTTCAGCCGGGTAGACAATATGAAAGACCATGTACGGCGGATTCACAAGAAGCGGTCGGAATAGACTTTTCCTTCTTGTCTTTCCTTCTTGTCATGAATCGCTACATTTCTCCTCCCTCTTCCTCTTCCTCTCCCTGTCCTTCATCCTGCTCCTCTCTCTCTCTCCGCCTGTCTCTACGATTTCTAATCTCTTTTCTTGGAACGCATTCTCGGAGTTGGGACTGACTGGCTGGTTGACTGACTGCTACGACATTATGGGTATGTATGTTTGGGGATCGTGGCTTGGACTTGTTGTTGGCATTCGGTATTTTGACCATTATAATCATGATACCTGTATGTAGAATAGACGCAGTCCTGCGTCAATGAATATAACTAGATGGAATGGAATGGAAATGGATTGGAACTGGAACTGGCGCTCAACCCAAATTCAGCAAATAGAGATTGAGATTCCGTCTCTGACTTACACAGACTAGTCAGAGCTCTAGAAATAAAGTATAGACCAGTAGTAGTATGTACGTATGTATGTACATGTATGTACATACAGTAAACTGTACATACCTTAGGTAAGTGCATAACCTTTTTTTTTAATCCACTCCTATTTAGGTACACTATATAGTGCAGGTCCAGTCCAACGTTTCTGCCTCCCATACATGCATGCATGTTTCATTAGCTCAGCCTCTTTCACGGAGTAATAATAGGCAAACACCATACCCTGCTGTTGGACTTGAATCACTTGATTGGATAGGAATTTTTAGAACTTAGGTAGTTGGGATACCAACCGTTCAGTTTCGTTAGGTTGGGTTAGATAAGTTGTTGGAATTTTTCCACCACAAGGCCAACGCCAAGGATGGTATAACGGTCGGGTATGGACCTAGGTATCTATCTTAGGTATATTAAGCAGTGGACCCTGAAGTAGGTAGGTATCCTCTTCAAATCCCGGGGAGCGAGGAGCGGAGGCTGAGCCTGGACCGCGGGAGGCTCAAACTTCAGTACCTCCCTGGTACCTAGTACTTATCTAACTAGGTAAGCTTCTTCTACCTACGAGATGATCTACAGTATGTACGCATCTGTGAAGGACTATGATTACATCCGGGACAGATTTCTTAATCTTAAAATTTATCAATCACATAATTCATTAAGATTGACTCAATATTATTTTTATCTAAGGTGTGCCAAGTTTCCAACTTGGTCTATCTTACATGTACTGTACTGTACCAACATGTACTTAATTTAGTAACAAACAACATGTACCTAGTATTAGTCAATCATGCCAAACAAACCAGGCTTGAAGACGGCAAGAAACTGAAAGCCAGTTATCGTCAAAAAAAAAAACGATCGGCTAAGAGATTGATTTGTTGCGTTTTTGTAAGAGATGATATATTGACAATGGTACAATATCAATCATAGAAATTTCACCAAGGCATGAATAATGGTCAAGGTTACGCAGAGAAGATAATATGGATAGAAAGCCTGCCTGCCTGGGAAGGAATTAATAAAATTTGCATATTACTGTCTAGGCATAGGTTAGGGCAATGTGTCTTACGTATGCACCTAGGTACTCGCTACACAACCCCTCCCAAACTCATGTCTTTGAGATTCTTTACTGTACCTGATGTTCTATTGTTTCAATGCAAAAGTTCCAAAACACTGCCTGGGTAAGCTCCGTTTCAATAAGCAAACAAGGTACCTTCTACAGACAAAATAAACTGACGAGAGTATTCATCTTGTCAAGAGAGACATTCTGCCTGGCCTCGCGTTTTTTTAATGCAGGCCATACACCCTTAACCAGCTAACGTACTACATGTAATTAAGTTCAATATAAGCACAAAACTTCGTAGACTCAGTCTACTTAGCTAGCTATATCAGAGCAATCGATCAGAAGCTCTGTGTGGTCGAACAGGAGCATTCAAAGAAATTCTAAGGAACAGATTAGGGCAAACTATTTTTAATTTTTTTATTTATAAATACAACAAAAGTCAGCAGCGTGGAACCATTCGTGTTTCTTATAAAAATTAATCATTTATTGCTGTTATTGCAGATAGGTAGTGGCGCTAATAGTACTCTGATCTTTATCCAGAAGGAAAAAAAATCTTGAGCTATAAGCAGAGAACCAGGTTCTTTAGTCAAACCCCAAAGTCTGTATTTCTCACTTTCGGCTATCTTCTCAGATATCCACTCAAAGTGGCATATCATATAATTTCAAGGATCTCTGTGAGGAGTAACGACAATGACGACTTCGACTATCAAGACTATGTAAACTGTTGCTTGCCCGACTATAGGAAAAAGATAGGGCCCGTCTTTGAGAAGATACATAAGCAACTGAAAGAAGTCATTAAAGATCAAGCAGTGGCTGAGAACAAGGCTGAATTGTCGCCAAAGCTGGACCAACCACATGCTATATTTTGTCTTGACGAAGCTCGTCATCTCTTTTTCCAAGGGCCGTCCGAAGAAAGTGATGACATGAGGTTTCTTGCTTTCCGTCTAGCTACAAGGCACCAGACGAGAGTCCGAGATCCTCAAAGTGGCATTACGAGGGACAACAAGCGATTTTTCGCTCTTCTATTGGATACTTCGTCCAGAGTATCAGCATTTTCACCACCCCGGGAGCACGACCCCAGCAAGAAGTTCCTACGTCCGGGAGATTTATTTGCGCCAATTTACAAAATTGATTCCAAGGATGTCTTTGCTAGGGACTCTGGTGCGGAATCAAGGTCAGAGACAACCGTTGGTCCAGTTCGTCTCTTTAGCCTCGGTCGACCACTTTGGGGCGCATATCTCGATGCTGGGCAAGGCTGGCAAGATGTAGAGCAACTCGCTTCCGAAAAAGTCTGCAACAGGAGCAACGACACCCAGGTGGTTGCGTTGCTATCATACCGTATCAATTTTTATGTGGTTGATCACCGACTGGCGGAGGAGCTTACCTCCGGGTATCTAAGGTACATTGTCGGAATCAGCGATGATCGCAAGTTTTTACAGACAATGCAACCATCCGAGCCGATCCTCGCACATATATCCGCTACAGAGATGAAAGACAGAACCAACCGGTTAGATGTCGTCAAGGCACTACAGGGAACTAGTCACGCATGGAACCATTCACATAGGTGATATAGGGGAAATCGTGGCTGCGTTAATTCTCTTGTTTGCCTTCGACAAGACACACACCAAGTCGAGACCAGGTCCAGTCCAGTTCTCTCAATTTCTTGGGTCGTTGCTCGGGAATGCATGTGTGCCTGGGGTTAAAACCCTGCATTGATGATGACAATGAAATGCAACGTCTGTGGACCGATGGATATGTCTTTTTTAATCATTTCGCAAGTCCAAGGAGATCCCTACCGATGAGGATCTGCGGAATGCGTACCACCGCGGGGTAGCAATATTTCCTCCGGTGGGCTGTAAAGGATGTGACATCGTGATCCCAGTCGCCATGCCGAAGGATAATTCCATGGCTTACTTTGTCATTCAGGTGAAAAACCGTCGGCGTGATAAGCTCACCCCTTCTCTCCGGACAGAAGCTCAAAATGCATTGAGGGCGGCTATTGGAGGTCTGCCGAAAGTCCCAGCACACATGGTAATGATGATGTGTCTACGCACCGAGTCAGATCGTGGAGCGATCGAGGTCGTTAATCCGGTGAAGATGCAATCCACGGAGCATAGAGCAGCGACGTCGGGGGGACGAGTCAGAAGGGCATGGCACATACAGGTGGGGGGAGAAGCACTTCCGACGAGTCATGTTTGTAGCTGTCGGGATGGATCTTGGCCTCTATCCAGGACTTGGGTTTACCGATGAGCCGGAGAAAGAACCAGAAACAGTTGAGATTGTGGATCTTTTGAGGAGGTTGCTAGATTGCACTTATGAGGTTATCACCGCCACCGAAAGCCCTTATCACGACCGTCTAACGGCTCTAGGCTAAATGTCTTCTGGGGTACCTAATATCAAAGATTGACGTGTATGTTCATATCGATGCAGAAGGCCAGCACTTTAGACGTACGAAATCGCATAGTTCGACCTGCAGAAATCCGAACAGAGTTTTAGTATGCGCTTCAACAGTATATCTACTACACAATAAGATCTGAGCTAGTCTAGATAGGTGAATGCAATCAGGAATGCAGAGAAGAACAAGACTGCCGTTGAAATGGCCAAGACAACGACTTCATTGGAGAGAAGCCTATTAATGGAGGCCTGGTGCGCTACTACTCTCAGGCAACAGCCTACACCGACTGGACGGTACGTGATCTTACCATGGTCCATAACATGAAATTGGCTGAGGGTTGTTCTTCATGTCTGCCTGCCGACGTCTCCAGGTAAGTAGCAAAGTACATCTGCCTGGGCAGATCATGTAGTCCAATCTGATAGAGATATCAACAATGGAAATATCAAGGCATCGAACGATCTGCGACAAAGATCTCTGATCATAGATAGCAGTAGATACGATGATGCTGGATACTTTACCTTTGGACGTTCTGCATCCAATCTGCCGTTTGGTTTGTGGTGCCTTTCTTTTTTCCTTAGAACTTAATAATACAGGTATTAATCATCTACTGACCATATGTTCAGATCTGGAAGGAGTACCCCACGAGCCTCCGTGCATTTTCTCTGACAAATCGCACATGCTATATAGCCGCAGTTCCTTTCCTCTACCACGATCTTCGGATCCGGATTTCCGGGTGCAAACAATTGATCCAAGATGTTACGGAACTTACAGAAGACCCCCTTCGACGGCAGTGCTTCCGGTATACCAGACGGCTGAAAATCGATGGCTGCATGCCCAGACGAGTCGACAGCGACAGAGAAGAAGTTTTTGCGGAGTTTGGCGAGCGCAACGATGATGATGATGACGATTGGGGAGATGGCGGTTTCGATGACTATGACGACCTGGAACCTGAGTATCATCCAGGCCCGATTTGTGATTATAGAGAAGATGAGCCCGATGAATCGGCTCGCGCATGGGCACCACTGGCCACCATGGTTTCAAAGCTTCATCATCTGACTGACTTGATCTACGCATGCGAGAACCAGTTCCCCGCCTGCTTGCTTCGGGTTCTGCATATCCATCATGCCACCTGTCGTCTCGACCTGCGGACCTTTCGGTTTCGAAGTCTGCGAGACATGTCGACCGATTCGCATGAGCTCAGCCTGGCCACTTCTCCTTGTCTACATGCCCTGAGCGTCCGATATTGCTCGCGTGATCTCCTCGATCAGGATGATTTCAACAAAGAGGCTGTTTTGCGGACTGTGGCGGGACTCGCGCCCAATTTGAGAAAAGTGGGCATGCTCTGCTGCATGGAGGGAGGTGTTACTGCGCAACACTATATTCAACCGACCTGGAAAGGTTTTGTGCCGGATGATGGGACCACGAAACTTGGAGCGCTCACATCGCTTTTCTCGAGTGAGGTGTTCACCAAACAGGAACTGGAGACATGGAGTCGGCATACCGATTTCAGCAAACTGCGATCGTTGTCCATAATGCCGACCATCGAGGCACTCGCGGACGCGGCAGTCAACCAGAGATTTCCATCCTTGGAAAGGCTGGTTCTGAAAATGCCCAGGGGCGAAAACGAACGGAGTTTACGATCCGCGTGTGAAATGTTCCTGGACAGTTTGAATCCGTTATCGACTTTACGGATCCACGCATCTATTATTGATGCGTCACTGCGAGATCGAATCTTTCAGCAACATGGAGCGACATTGCGCGACCTGGCTTTCCCACCTCGTACCCTGAAAGACATCCTGCGAATGAGAGACAGCTGTCCGTTCCTAGAAATCCTGAGAATTCAGGTCAAGCGATCAATGTCGGATCGCCGCGAAACACGCTTCTACGAAGTTCTCGGCACTCTGCCATGTCTGAGAAAGCTTTCCTTGGACCTCGATTGCTCATTAGCGGAGACGGAGCTGTTTTCAGATGACATCGTGGAGACCTTTGATGACTTTGATCGAGAATTGTTTGGACCAACTGCTTGGTGGCGCAACGGACATATACGCAACGGCCTGATCAACGCCGCCGTGGACGAGGCTCTGGTCCGCTCGATCTGGGACATCATCGCCACCAACAAGCCGGGGTGTTCGTTGAAATACCTGAAAGTCATTAGTGGGATGGGAGATAATCCTATCTACCCAGGCGGCGTTGGCGTGATGGATCGGCTCCGTCAACTGAGACGCTCATACGTATTGACAAGCGAAAGTGACAACGGAAAGGTCACCCAGCTTCGTGAATTAGGGAAGATGAAGCGAGACGAGGCGTTTAATGCTACGCAACGACGCGTGGCTTACTGGCTAAAGGTGGGAGGAAACATGGCTGAATCAGTTAGCCGTCGCGAGCCGGTCGATCGAGTTTTCAAAAGACTATGGCCGCCGAAGACGGACAGTCGAGATTGGCGCGACGACTGGAGCAGTCGACCACTTCAGAGAGAGTAGAATATCGATTTTTGACTTTGAACACTTCGATAGCTAGCTGGTTGCTACTGGTCGGATTTAGGGGTGATGTCCTCAAGACCTATTTGCTTTTCTGATGGTCGTCGTTAAAGCGCTAAGTTTAGAATTCGAGCTGCGGATCAACATTCGTCTATCCTGTGAACAGTGTTGCTATAGAAAATATTATATGGAAGATGAGTTTACTGTCCATGCCAAGGGAGTACTCCGGAGTAAGCATTGATAGATGCAGGGTTAGCCCTAGGGGCTCTGGTTCTGGTAAGGTTCCCGCTTTCCCCGCGGTCTGGGCAGGATGGAGACGGGGGCAGCCTGATAGCCTCGGTTCCCCGGCTGCCGACAGGGCCTACCAGGTAACCTAGGCAGTCCGATCCATGCTCTCGCAGTTGGAAGGTTATCTCATCCCTCCATATCGAATATATACCTATGGCATGACCCCCCGTCATCCAGCCTCGGGTCGTTTGATTCAATCCGACAGCCATGGCTGGTCCCGTGCGCCAACCAATTGACATTCCCGCCCTGGAGCGGTACATTGAGCAGCATGTGCCCATCATCAAGACGCCGCTGGACGTGAAACAGGTGCGTTCTCATTTTCATCAGGGCTACTGCTGAACGCTTGCTGATTTGTCGCTGCGTTGGCAGTTCGGTTTCGGCCAGTCGAATCCTACGTACCAGCTCACTGCCGCCGACGGACAGAGATTCGTCCTGCGCAAGAAGCCCCCGGGCAAGCTCCTCTCCAAAACGGCACACAAGGTCGAGCGCGAGTTCAAGATCATCTATGCCTTGGAACGGACGGACGTCCCGGTCCCCAAGGCCTACTGTCTGTGTGAGGACAGCAGCGTGATAGGGACGCCGTTCTACATTATGGAATTCTTGGACGGCAGAATGTTCACGGATCCTTCGATTCCGGGCGTGAGTCCCCAGGAAAGAAACGCGCTGTACGTGCTATGATTCTGATCCGGGTGGAACGGGAGGAGGAGGCTAATAATACCGGTTTTTGTCTTGTCTAGATGGCGGGATGCAGTTCGGACCTTGGGCAAGCTCCATCGAGTCGACCCCAAGTCGGTGGGCATGGAGAGTTTTGGCAAGCCTACGGGGTTCTACGACCGGCAGATTGCGACATTCACCACCATCTCCGAGTCGCAGGCGCAGGCGGTGGATGTCGATACCAAAGAACCGGTCGGCCCGCTGCCGCACTTCGGGGACATGGTGCGCTTCTTCTCCAACAAGGCGACGCAGCCGCGCGACCGGGGCACGTTTGTGCACGGCGACTACAAGATCGACAACATGGTGTTCCACCGGACGGAGCCGCGGGTCATCGGCATCCTGGACTGGGAGATGGCGACCATCGGCCATCCGCTGTCGGACATCTGCAACCTCACCAGCCCGTACTATATCAGCAGCAGCGAGCACAAGACCGAGGCGTTCCGGCCGGGAGCCACGCCGGGGCTGCCGACGCGCGACCAGTGCCTCCGGTGGTACGCCGAGGTGGCGGGATGGGACCCGGCGCCGGAGATCGCCTGGGGAGACGCCTTCTTTGCCTTCCGCAGCTCGGTCATCATGCAGGGGATCGCAGCCCGGTACGCGCTGCGACAGGCGAGCAGCGCGCGGGCGAGCGAATATGCCAAGAACATGCGACCTTTTGCACTGGAAGCGTGGGAGCGCGTAAAGCGGGTTCAAGAAGAGTCGCAACGAAGGGGGAAGTTATAATCCAAGAAGAAAATGAAATAAATATGATTCTGAAAATACGTGGTACCGTCTATGACGCCCGTCTCGAAATATCCTGAACGGGAATTGAGGATATACCGCAATGATCGATTGATAAAATCTCCCAAGGTCGTCCTCAAGACGACTCCTTTTGCTCTTCAGGGAGCAATGCAACAAAGGCAATGAGAGTATGCACATACATTACACAAGCCTTTGATTCCTGTAATGTAAGCCTATATAATGCCTATAGGGAAGCCTATTAGGAGGTACTACAGTCTATACCTACCTACCTACCTAATGGGGGGAGTAGGAACTGAAAGCGGCATAGCGCCATTCTCATGTGACTGCCTATTTATTAAGGGCACCCTTCGACTAAAGGGAACTTAAGAGACATACACCTCACTCTCGATCTGACCTCCTACGTCCAAGAACCCGTTGCTCCTTGATTTCCCTGCCAATTTGCAGTATCATAGGTCTAGAGATGTAGATCCCTTTTCTGGAACATTGACATGCTTATATAATTTATAACGGGTGCTGACTAAGCAAAGTTGACCAACCACGTAACTACCAGAACCGTTGACGAAGCAATTTCCGTGCAAATATCGAGTACGGAGGAGAAGAGATACGCAAAATCCAATCAAGATGCAGCCGATCGCGTCGCTAGAATATAAGGTATGATAGACGGGTGGAATTACCGGTGTCTTTAGTAAACTATTTAGGCCTTGCAGGGATTCTGATCCTCCCGCAAAAAAAACATCGAGCAGACCGGGTCTAATTACCATATCACCTGATCCATGGCAGTACAGTCTATGTGGTGACTGGTCTGATGTGAGCCGTGAGCAGCAGTGATGCTAATAGTAAGATTAACCCGGAAGAGGACGGAAGAAAGAACGCGTATGACTGTGTGGCCTGTTTCAGTATAAAAATCCATGCCTGCCAGCCGATTCGACGGGCGAGCGAGAGGCTCAAGGATGCGGCGGTATGGACGAGGGGGGATCGACGGGGCCTAGCGCTGCAGGATGGTCTGGCCGGGTGGGGTCGCTCGACGTGGACTCCCGACTCTGTCATCCTAAGACTCCAGGATGCGCTTGGCGAGGACAGTACAGAGTACTCTGTACCTCTGGGGTACTTGAGCAGCAGCAGCAGCAGAAGATGATGGTGACGAGAATAAATAATACTCCGGACAGTGCTGCTCTCTTGTAGGGTGCTGTTCCTGCGGCTCCGAGATTCTAGCCTAGCTCTTGATTGCACGCCCTGGAGGGATTACGCTGCTGCACTGGCACAGCCTCTCACCAAGCAGTCGTATAATATTAGTTATTAAATTAATATTATCCTGATGTTCTCCGCCTGAGGCTGGGCAACCCCTCTCGCACGGCCCAATCTCGCCGGGCCATGGCCCCCGCGCTGGCTGCCATTGGACATGCGCGCAGCCGGTGAAGCAGCGACGCCAGCAGAGCCTCACCTTGGCGGCGTGCAGAATGCAGAATGGAATGGATGATGGACGTGGCAGCACGAGGCCTGGCTCGACCAGCCGCCCTGGCTCAGACTGGCTCGTGTGGCGCGCTGCCTCCTCAGCCTCCGCGATTCATCTCGCGCCATGGCCAGCCCAGAGCAGCCAGCCTGGGCCAGTCGTGAGCCGCCTGCAGCCTCCTGCGCTGCGCCAGCACATTCACATGCCCGCGTGGATGGCGGGCAGCACGAAGCTAGAGTATCGCGACCGTTGGCTAGCTCCCCAACCTCGCCGGGCGCCTCGCCCCCAGCTCCATGGCCACGGCTGTCCTCGATCCTCAAGAATAAGAAAACGGCACGATCGCCCTTCTTATCTATCTTCTTGCCCTCGATCGTTGCGGCTCTGTGCCACCCCGAAGAGCCTCAACCTCAGGGAACATCCACGCTGCCTCCGCTGTGCTCGGCTGTCTGTCGCTGGTGGAGCGTTGACCGCTGCATCCATGCTAAAGCGGTTTTCCCGCCCTTCTAGCCTCGCATCAAGCCATCTCGTGTCTCTGACTGCTCGTGCAGGGCCCGGGGCTGGTTTCCGGCTGTCAGTCGCCTTTCTGACATTGCCCGCCTGTTGTTGATCGTGTCTGTTTCCTTTCCCCCGGTGGACGACCTCGACCTGGACTTGCTCCGTTTCACTGCTCACGGCCGTGTTGCCCACCATCTTTCTGGCCTAGGCAGCCTTTTTCGGGGACGCGCAGGTTTTCAGCCACCGTGCGTTCTCTGTACTCGTCTCGGCGCCGCTTAGTTAAGACGTATTCCCAGCAGCACGCCCGACAGGGACGGCGACGGCCAGGTCGCTTGCACCTCGCTTTGCTGGCAGCGCCATTGTTCGATTCGAATTGTTTCGTTGCAGATGCACTGAACCGTTGGGGTTGAATTTTTGATCGAGGTCGACTCGAGATCCGAAAGTGGTAAATCTCTCTTTTCCTTTCATTCCCTTTTGCTTTCCCTTCCGTTGTCTTGTTTTATTATTATTTCGTTGCCTATTTTTGTGTCTGCAGGAGAATTCAGGAGCCCTATCAATAACCCCCCCTTTTTTTTGTCTTTTGGAAGTCATGTCTGTACTCGTATGGGATATCTCGTTTTACCCTGCAATGGCTTTAACTTATATCTTTGTTTTGATTGTCATGATTCCTCTTCACAACTCGAATTCCACATGTGGGCTGGATTTGTTTGCAGTTTTGACATTTGGTTCGTTTCATCGTGGTACATCCTGCCAGCTCCTTGGACCCTTCTTCAATTGGGCTATTTGATTCCATCTGCTCCCATTGCATTGTCTCTGCTCCTGAACTGCATCGTCAATGCTTGCCTCTCCTTGCACGTGGTCTTTCTATACCCAGTCAGGGCACAACACGTGATGGCTAACGGAGCCTCAGGTCTTCTGCTGACTCCATTCGATTTCTTCCAGTCACCCGGGACTTGTTGCTCACACGACACCAGGCTTTGACAGCTGAGGTCACGTCCCGCCAGTCGAACTGTACATCTTTTATTTCTCTTCTCGTCTTGGCCATCGCAACCTCATGACTGACAACGGCTCGCCTTCATGACGTCCGACCTATACGACTCCGATGATGCCTTGAACCGTTCCCCCCTCCTGCAGCCCCAGGTCATCAAGTATGGCCCCGAGGAGCAGCTCCCTCCGTTTCTGCACAAGGAGTCCGCCTCGGGAGAGGGGGGAGGCGACAGTCCGTCAAGCCAAGGAAGTTTTACGGGTCGTTCGCGTAAGAAACGCTGGCAGCAGTCCACTTTAGGCGACGCAGTCCTGATCAGCACCATAGACCCAAACAGGCCGGATATTGCCAGAATCGCCGCGGAGGATCCTCTGGTTGTAGACTCATCAGACGACGACGATGATGATGATGACAGGAGGACAAGCCCGGCCAAACCGATCCACCACAAGCCACCAGCCCTTCAGACAACCTCCAAAGCAGCAGATTTAGGACAAGCAGCCGCCAAAGCCCTATCATTACTTATTGACGACACCCCGGCCGCTGGCGGGAAACCAGCGCCGCTCGACCATGGCCCTCTACCATCTATCGACCAGCTCACCTCGGAGCCCAAATCCCCAAGACCTAGTCACCGCAAACAACCCTCTCTCGGGCCGACAACGGAGAAGCCAGAAGAAGATAGCTTGGCGACTTCTCCTCTGGGGAAATTTACCATCTCTCCGTCCGACCGTTCGCCCCAGGAACTCCTTCCAGCAATCCAGTCGCCCCCTCAATCCGCCGCCGGAGGGTCTCCCGAGAATACACAGAGTCTGCCATCAATCCATTCCGCGATAGGGGAGCTCCCTGCGGCGCCGCGACGAGACTCCTCGGGTCGGATCAACACGATCCCTCCCTTCTCGTCCATCTCAGGCGCTTCGCCTCCACTGCCTCGGACTGTCTTAGGTCGCGAGCGTCAGCTGTCAGGCCCACCACCACCACCACCACCCCCGCCGCCGCCGCCACCGCCAGCGCAGATGCCCAGCCCCTTTTCTCACGTAACACCGATGAGTTCAAAAGATCCGACCGGCTTGTCGCCCGCGTCGCAGTCTTCTTACAGTATGAGGCCGACACAGGGATTGAGGCCCGATCTGGCCAATATGACTTCGCCATACGATGCGTCCCCTCGCGGGTCCCAATCGGTCCCAAATCCGGCTGCCAACTATCCAACGCCCACCGATTCACGGCCAGGGGGTGAAGAACGTCCGGCTTTGGCAGCCGGTCCATCGCCCCCCAGTGGGCCGATGTACAAGTGTAAGCACCCTGGATGTACTGCGCCGCCGTTTCAGACACAGTATCTTTTGAAGTGAGTCTTTTATCTTTCTCTCATTTTTTTTTAAATTTGTGACTAACTCGATAAGCTCTCATGCAAATGTTCATTCGCAAGAACGACCACACTTCTGCCCTGTTCCCGGCTGCCCTCGTGGTTTTGGGGGGAAAGGCTTCAAGCGCAAGAACGAGATGATCCGCCATGGTCTCGTCCACAGCTCTCCGGGATATGTCTGCCCGTTTTGTACCGATCAGCAGCATAAATACCCGCGGCCAGACAATCTCCAACGGTAGGCCAATCAGTGTGCACTGAGATGGATCGTTGCTAATTGCAGGATACAGCCACGTTAGGGTTCATCATGTCGACAAGAGCAAGGACGACCCCGAGCTGCGCAAAGTGCTGTCCCAGCGGCCTGAGGGAAGTACACGGGGACGAAGACGGCGGACTCATTCGTAGCAACGGACACGAAACTGTCGATGCTGTTTCCTGCCTGGTATGTTCAGCTGGCAGCGCGCTGATTCAGTTCGATTACCTGTGGGCAATTCAATTCCGACGGCTTGTCGTGAACAACTCCGGATGCAGGGTCAGCAGAGACTTTCTGACAGCATGCAGCTGGCAGAGGGGTATGATGGATACGAAGTCAAACGATATTAAAGTAAGTTTCTTTCTCCATGGTCTAACCGTGTATTCCACTGACTCATGGTCTCCCAGGCACAGTACATACATACATATGACATGATATGATTTTTTTTTTGCACGAGCTAAGATACCTTTTGATATTCTTGTTGATACTTGCGTCGACAAATAAAATACATATAAATATAACCTGGAGTTGGTGATGAGGTGGGTCGATATATGCGGGTTTCTATGCATTATATTCGGCATGTTTTCTCGCTTCTCTTCACGACAGGAGCTATTATTCGGTATAATTAAAAAGTGACGACCTGCAACAGCCTTGCCCGATGACCACCATCAACTATCAACTATATGGGACGGCTCTATATATTATCCACGTTGACATTCACGTTGATATTTACATTGACGTTTTTTTTTTTTTTGGTCAATTGGCACACGGTCAGGTTTAAACGGAAGTGACGTGATCGAGGATTGTTTTTGATTTCTATTATCTATTTTTTTTTGCCCCTTTCTCTTTCTTTCTCCTTGATGGGCTCGATTGCAATCGAGTGACCAATGAACATTGAATGACTTTTTTTTTTATGAAAATGAATGAAATGAAATGATGTGACGAGTTTATGACAGAAAAATGTTTCTCTATCGTTTTTTAAAAGAAAAAAAAATCTATTCATAGGCATTTGAACCTAGGGAATTCGGTATTCGATATTCAATTTCGATTAATTCCAAGTGATATATTTAAGACAGTCCTGCATCCACAATTGTAAATAATGGTCCAGTGAGTAACTTTAACAGTTAATGCAATTGGCAAAGAGTAACCTTCATCTTAGAATCGGATCCAGAATAAAAGAAAAGGCCATCTTTCCTCCGACCCGAGAACCATGGTTATAGCTAGTACTCAGTACTGTCGGGGTTTGGGAACAACAACTACCTAAGAGACCATCACACTTAAGTCAGCAAATGTTATTTATTATTGTTCTGCGTCCTGCCATCACCGTGTGATGAATGAACTTCCCCTCCATCTTTTTTTTTTAAAACGCTACTTTTTTTTTTTTGCTGATAACACATTCTCCCAACGCTGTACTGTACTGTACAAAATGTCCCTGCCAGCCAAGTAGGTTGCCAGAGTCATCCTACCATCTATCTGCCCACATGGCTTCCTCCCAGATGACACTGGCAGACATCGACAATGATGAACGCTGGAACGAGCGATCAGCAGCGCGATCAGCAGCTCTCCAAACAACGAACTACAAAAAAAAAAAAAGCACTAGAAGATGTGTGCGGTGTCAAAGAGGTGCCAGTGCCACAGTTGTTCTGGGCGTTCTGCCAGATCTGTGATGTTTCTCTTGTCCGGGGATTCTTTTGTTTTGTCCTCACTACCGACGATCCATATCAGTATCTGCTGCCTAGTTGGAGATTGCTGGAAATGCGGTGGGATCTCCACAGGGTTGTCGCCGGGATGAGCGGGTATGCTGAGCCACCGGGGGGGATTTTGATGACCTCTACGACGACGATGCTGGCTAGAGACAGGTATCTATGATTGGCATGTCCTTCCTCATGAAGTAAATTCTTCTTTGTTAATTAAATAGTATTAATGGTATTAATCTGACGTTCTAGTAGTAGGGATTTCTATCTCGGATTGCTTCTCTTGTTGCAGAGACTATCTATCATATTCATTAATATTCTCGAAGACCAATGGCTTCAATGGACTTTTCTTTGATTGACGACAAGCAAGATGCATTCGACGATTATTAACTATTAACTATTACCTACGGAACCCGGGCCCAGCCCGTCGTAAAGCACCCTCCACCGCCGCCGTGATCTTTTCGACCAGGACAGCGGGCTGGCTCAACATGGGTGAGTGGCCGGAGCTGCACCGGACCACCTGCGCCTTGATGGTGGCAGCGAACATCTCCTGGAAACGGACGGGCACGGCTCGGTCGTTCTCCGTGATGAGATATGTCGAGGGAATGTACTCGTATGCCGCCCGCGTGAGAGGGGTCGTCTGGACCTTGTACGACTGCGGGATCAATCGCGACTCCCACAGAGCGGCCTCCGAGTCTGGAAGGTCGTTGAAGAGGATCTTGGCTCCGTTGCGGATGCAGAAGCGTCCATCTGGCTGTACAGTACATAGATGAGCGAAAGCGGAATACAAAATAAAATAGGACGACTGACATACCCTCACGTCGTTATTTGGCGACTCGCCAAAAACCCCCAGCACCGACTGCCCCTTGCCCAGGATAAAGGCGCAGAAATAAAAGAGATGGATCACGCCACCGGCAAACCCCCGCGACTGGCGATACGAGTAGCTGAGCTCCTCCGGGATGGCGTTGCTGCCCACCAGCCCACCATACGAGTGCATGACCACGACGACCGTCTTGCCCTCCGCCTCGACCAGTCGTTGGATGGCGACGGTCACGGCGAGGGAATCGTCCGTCAGCGTGCGGGTAGGGAAGTCGGCGTCGTCGACGTTGGTGCAGGATGGGAGTCGGGGGTGGATGACGGGGTAACCCGCGTCCAAAAGACCCGTCAATAACGCCCCGTAGAACAAGGGGGTTTGAAAGGAGCCCTGGACGATGACGATGGTGGGTTTTGTAGCTGTAGACATGGTGATTTCGATATCAAAAAAAATAAAGACTTTTATTTTTCTTTTAAAGACTATGCCTGCACAAGTCTAGGAGCTGAAAGACTGCAATTGATTCGAATTATGACACTGAACTGCTCAGGAAAACAGAGCAGCCATATTTCACACATTTTATACCTCGTCGTGCCATCGTCAGGGTCCAGCTCTCACGTCCTGCTAGCTTCGGAGTGGCCGGTTAGGTGCTTGCAGTGTTGGTTTTGTTTTATATAACCAGGCGCCCAACGTTCCTTCGGCGAGCAAAGCAGCGGTCGATCACCGAGCTATAATCGTTCCAGGCAGTCGAGGTCGATCCTGAGATGCGCATCGTTACTGTCACCGTCGCAGCGACAGCGGAAGGAATCAGGAACAACCGAGCGGCATGTTTTTTTTGCCACACAGGATCAACAAGGCAAGGGCAGAAGGAATATAGGGCCGCGACACGGAGCCAAATGAAAATAACCTTGTTCGAGGGACTAAGCCTGAGCTAAAAAAAAATTGGACTGCTGGAGTCGCCGACCAACACCAACGGACAGGCCATGATTGGGCGCAGCAGCTGCTAACAGTCGGCAGCCTGACACCCGCGGCCGACGGAGATGCGATGAAACAGGTTACAGCAGTGGCAAATCAATCAGCCTGGAAGGGGACCTCGGAGATGGTGCGTATACTGTATGCAACGATACTGTACTGTACTCATCCCCTGGCCTCGAGTTGCAGCGGGATGGCTGCGACTTACTCTTTGCGGGTGGCTGCTAGGGCTAGCCCTGACAAGGAGGCAAAGCTGGCAAACATGCCGCTTTGGGTTGCTGAGAGCGGGACGCGATGCGCGTTGCTCACCGACGCGTTGCTGCACTTATTACATTCTAGGGATGCAAGGCCTAAACAATAATCCATCGACTCATCGAGGCTGATCTTCTATCATGACCAAGCAGGCCACTCCGCCTCCTGATTCTGCTCCCTCTACCGCTGCTGCCGTCGCCCACGAACCGCCCTCGCTGCCCGCCTCGCCCCTCGCCAAGCGAACCAAGACCGACGACGCCGTCGAGAACAACGGAACTTCTACTTCTACGAGCATTGCCTCCGTCATGGCCTCCTCCTCCAATGGCAATGGCAATGGCACCGCTGTGACCTCCATCTCCCAGCCTACGCCTCCTCCGCTCCTGGTGAAGAAGCTGACCGAGTCGGCTCGGGCACCCACGCGGGGATCCGCCTTTGCGGCCGGATACGATCTCTACAGTGCAAAGGACACCGTCATCCCGGCCAAGGGCAAGGGATTGGTGGATACGGGATTGGCGATTGCCGTGCCCGAGGGGACGTGTGAGTAATCTACAAAATCTACAACTGCTGGCTACATGTATATGCTTGCTAATAATACATTGATCGAAGACGGGCGTATCGCTCCCCGCAGCGGTCTTGCGGCCAAGAACTTTATCGACACGGGCGCCGGGGTCATTGATGCCGACTACAGGGGGGAGGTCAAGGTGTTGCTGTTCAACTTTTCGGACGAGGACTTTACTGGTATGCAGCATGGCATGTTTGTTGATCAGACATTCTTGACTGACACATTGTAGTCAAGGAAGGAGATCGCATTGCCCAGCTCGTTCTGGAGAGGGTAAGTCTGTCATCTTTCACACTGACGCTGTCGAACGTCCTCTGATCAATCTTGTTGCTAGATCTACACCCCTGAGGTCGTGGTTGTCGATCAACTCGAAGAGAGTGTCCGCGGTGCGGGCGGTTTTGGCAGCACCGGAAGATAGATAGATACTGCATGAATGTGGATTATATGTTATGTCGATTGATATCCCTGATGATTTCGAGAGGTCAACGTCAATCACCTTGAATAGATGGGTGATTTTCATTGATCATGGACTGGGACTGGGTCTTGATTGAATCAAACCAGACAGTATATGCCTGCCTAGTTAAATAGTTAACATCATGAATGATAATGATGTCAGGTCTGATCAGTCATACCAAAGAAAGAGAAGCACACTGTAGAAACAGTAGTCGATCAGGTACCTCCGTTACAACTCAACCAGTCTTTCTCTCAGCTTCTGCACGTAGCATGTGAACTCAATGTCTCCGTCGTATATACATCATAAAGTATTTTCCATACTCCTGATCTCTAATATCTACTGAATAATCGCGCATGCACCATCGGCGATGCCGACCTTAAAGCAGCCTCCCAGACACAAGCTCTCGACCAATAACAAGCCATCTGCCATGGCAGTCGGCCATGTCCCGACAACCAATCAGGGTCAGGCAGTTTCCAAAACGGGGATAGCTACGTAACATGCCCCTCACCCCACGCTTCAGGGCGGCATTGCGTTTGCGCGCCTTCCCCAGTCGTTGTTATTATCAAATTCGTTTTTTTGATCATAGTCTGTCGGCCAGTTACGCCAGTTATACTAGTAGTTGGTTCGTTTTGGAGTGAGAAGACTGCGGAAGCCAAGCCAAGGCTCTTTCTGTTTGCATTTTTCTAAATTCTAATTCTGACTTAATTAGTATCATACATACATACTATCTCATCCTATCGAATTGCATCTCGACTGCTCTTGCTCTCGTCAGTGGGCATCAATCAATCCAGCCTGAAGAAAAGAGTCTGCAGGGACAAAACTAGTAGTGCCAGACATAACAGGCTTCCCACCTATCATACCCACGGATTCGTGCCTCCTCCCCTGCCCTGCCAGCTTCGTTTCGCATCATACCCGCTGCCGATGTCGTCGTCGTCATCAGAGGACTGTGAGCAGCAGTCCTTGGTCCCGGAGACCAAAGTCCTTGCCATAGCCAGCCATGTGAGTGGAACGATTACATAATTACGCATATACATACATGCATACAATCATTACAACTATGCTATCTGATGCTGACTGCATAAAAAAAGGTTTCCTATGGGTGCGTGATACCAACTATCAATGTCATCTTTTTTTTTTGACAACTTCTGATAGCAGATATTATCTCGACTGGTTTCTTATTAGGGTGTATGACTGATTGCGTTCGTCAGATATGTCGGAAACACAATGGCCACGTTTGTCATGCAGTCTTTGGGATGTGAAGTCGCGGCGATAAACACGGTTCATTTTAGTGAGTAGCCCGATTTCTTCTTATCTATTATAGATGTCTTTACAATTGTCTCGTCAGACTCTGACGAGCCTTTCATTGATAATGACTGACCAGGCAGGCAACCACACCGGGTATAGACAGTTCAAAGGCACCCGGACAAGCGCCCAGGAGATCCGCGACCTCTACCAGGGTCTCTGTCAGAGTGACCTGACCGATTTTGATGTCTTGTTGTCCGGGTACACACCCAGCGCGGCGGCTGTCGAGGCCGTCGGTGAGATCGGGCTGGATCTGCAGCGCCGGGCGGAGAAGAAGCCCGGGTCGTTTTTCTGGAGTGAGTATTACAGATTGTTGAAAAAAAAAAAAGATGTAATGCTGACTGGGGCAGTCCTGGATCCTGTCATGGGCGATCAGGGCCGGCTTTATGTCAATGAGGATGTGGTGCCGGCGTACAAGAAGATAATCCGCCATGCGGATTTGATACTACCGAATCAGTTTGAGGCGGAGTAAGTGGCCTTTTTGTTTCTTTTGTCTGCTCCTGCTAACTCGACAGACTCCTCTCTGGAATCAAAATCTCCACTATGAAAGACCTCGCAGATGCCATCACTGCCATCCACAAAACATACTCGATCCCCCATGTCGTAGTCACGTCGGTCCAGCTGTCGGGCCTCGGCTCGTCGACACCGCCGTCGACGCTGACCATCATCGGCTCGACGACTCGTTCTGATGGCTCGCCTCGGCTGTTCCACATCGACGTGCCGGCGCTGGATTGCTTCTTCAGCGGGACGGGCGACATGTTTGCGGCGCTGACGGTGGCTCGACTGCGAGAGGCCGTTTTTGCTGCCGACGCAGATCCGGCGCTGCGCAACACCCGCTCCTGGGTGTCGCCGGACGACGTGCCCGCGACGGAGCTCCCTCTGGCAAAGGCGACGGAGAAGGTACTCGCCAGCATGCACTCTGTGTTGGAAAAGACGCTGGAGGCGCGCAACGCCGAGTTGGCAGCAGCAGCAGCAGCAGCAGCGACGACAGAGACGGACAGCACAAGCGCCGAAGAAAGGCAGAAACGGGAGCATCTCCGACGGACCAAGGCCAGCGAGGTGCGACTCATCCGGAACGTGGATCTGCTGCGCAAGCCGGTGGTAGAGTTTCGAGTGCAGGAGTGGAGGGTTGACAATAACCTAGAAGGAAGATAATCACACACACATACACACACAGATATACATATATATAATATGATTAATCAGTCCAGTCCAGTCCGGCAACTAGTCAGTCAGCAGCAACACTATACAGAGTATTGACTGCCTGACCGTCGGTCAACGACAGAATCAACAAAAGATGGATAGAAAGAGAACGCATAAGTGGAGTATAGAATACATACGTCTGTATACTGTATGTACATGTGCATAAGTTAGCAAGCAGCATCAACACATCGATAGAAATGAGAATAGATAATACGCACTTTAAAAAAAAAGACTCCTTACACACATACATAGACACATACTGTATGTACATACTTCCCATCAGAAAGAAAAAAAGAAGAATGAAAGAAAGAGTCGCTCATTCTATACTATTCCTATGACGTTAATTGTTAAATGCATGTGTACATACAATCCAGGCCGGGCCTCCAGTCTACTTCCTCAACCCAACCCAGCCATTATTAAATCAAATAAATACACCGCCACTTGCCTTCTTCAAATCAAAAAAAAAAGTAAAAAAGAAAAGAAAAAGAAAAAGCTGTTAATACCGCTATGCTACCAATGCTAGTTATTGCTGGTTAATGCTGGTTAATAACCCACCGGCGTAACAACACTCGACAAATCCGTCTCGAGAAGGGACATGATATTGACGTTTCCTGCGAACCAGTTTCCTAGCGATAATGATGAAGATGAATCACCTGCTGTGAATCCTTGCTCAAAGCCTGCTGCTGTTGTCATTGCGGTTGGATCGCTGTTGTTATTACTGTTGTTGTTTGTGTTTGTGTTGATGACTGCCGCGTTCGGGATGCCTAGGGCGCTGAGGTAGGGTTCTAGATCGTCGATTGGTGATGATAGGCCTGGGTATTGTGGTGGTGGAGGATTGCTATTATTACCAGCACTAGCAGCTCGGTTGTTATTATTAATGTTGCTGTTGCTGCTGTTACTCAAGTTTTGTTGCTCCTCTGAGGAGGATCCTCTTCCAAGGGAAGAATTAACCTGCTGCTGCTGCTGTTCCTGCAGCCGCCTCATCTTCGCCGAAATGTACAGCTCCGCCACGCGGTGAAAGACATGGCACAGCCGACAGAACTTCTCCGCCGCCTCGGCAACCTCAGCGGCTGACTGTAGCGAGGACACAAACTCGCCTAGCCGGCGCAGGTCTGATGTATCGGCCGTGGCGATGGCGTGGCAGAAGAGGACTAGGAAGGGTGTGAAGGGGCAGTTCATGAGGATCCTGTGAACCGAAATCATCAGCTTGGGTTGGTTTGGTTTGGTTTGGTTTTATGGGTGATGTTTGTACTCACCACGATATATACCCATGCCAGATGTAGCTGTTGCTATCCTTGTACCGCTCCGAGTTGCGCTGATGAGCCTTCAACGCCAACCGAGCCGTCTCGATGCACTCGTTGTTGAAGATGGTCGAACTGTCTGTCGGTCCGGGCGGAATGGTGCGGTAGACGAGCGTCAGGAGCGAGTAATACATGATCTCGCACGATGTGATGGCCGCTTCGTAGTATGCGGGATTATACGCTCGGGAGGGATCGATCTGCAATATCTCCCTATACCACATCTGCATATCCGAAATGATCGACTTCGCCCTTCGCGTCATCTCCGCCGACGACCCCGACAAGGCCTGCGGCGAATACAGCTCTTCGTAGATCCGCCCCTGGAACCGCCCGATCCGGATCCAGTGCTGGTACATCACCTCCCACATGCTCAGCCGCGTGTCCGGCGACAGCTCCGGCAGGTCCAGCGTGATGTCAAAGTCCTGCAGCGTCGACGAATGGCCCAGTCGTAGCGACAGGCTCTTGTCCAGGATGTACGTGTACCAGAACATCCGCTTCTTCAGCTGGATGTCCAGTTTGCGGTCGTCGGGCGACGCCACGGAGCGGTGGTACCCCAGCGTTTGGCACAGTCGCGCAGCGGTCGAGGTGAGGGCCCAGCAGAGGGATGGCCGTGATATGTCGATCGCGTATGAAGCCTGTCTAGTAAGCATGAAAACAAAAAAAAGGAGAGAAAGAGAGATAACGAAAACGGTATGCTTACGCCAAGAAGCAGAGCCTGGATATTCTCAAACGTCGGCGCAGTAAAAATGTCAAACCGGCCAAGCGCATACTCGAAATTCGCACGACATATCGCCGCGCTCTCCTGCGACTCGGGGACGTTTCTCCCCCACAACATGCCCACCTCCAGGAAGAGATAGTACAGGCCTCCGTTGACGAGGGTAAACGCCGCAAGCGAATAGTCCTCGACAGCAAAGTAGATCTTTTTACAGAGCTCGTTGAACTGGTCAAAGTCGAGAAAGGGGAGGTCTAGAAAGTTGTGCGATTCTGAAGAAGTCAGCAACCCAGCGTATATGACTGCAGACTTGCTTCCGTGTTACTTACCCTTGCACAGACGGAGGAGAGTTACAACAGACGACAAAGAAGGCATCTTCACCGAGGACAGGTCGATCGCCGCATTCGCCGGCTGGTTCGGAAACCGCCAGTCTTGGTTGATCGACAGCGCGTGCTGTTTCTCGATCAGCGTCCGCAAGGCCGCCAGCGCTTCCTGCATCTCCGGGCTGCGGTCGACCGACGCATCGCTGCGCATGGCATGCTCGACGACCCGGCTCGCATGGACGGAATGCGCCCGTAGTGACGAATCTCCCTCAAAGGCCGTGTTCGTCTTGCCCGCTGAGCTGTTGCGTTCCGCTGGTCCTCCGGAAGAGGACAGGGTCTCCTGATGGGGAGAATACGACGGGCCCAGCGTGACAGACGGTCGTGAGGGGGACGCTGCAGAATGCGCGGCCAGGTTCTGAATGAGACCTTCGATTCTTGCCAGGCGGCTTTCGATGGCCTCGATTTTCTTTTCACTGGGAGGTGTTACTATAGAAAATAATTTCTACGGAAAAGGCACGTACTATTGGCTTGAAATCAGAATCCGCTGGCGGTGTTCCTTTGGTCGATTCGCCGTGTGGCAGACGGTATTCGATGCTCGACAGTTGGAGCATGGCGATCGTTTGTCGCATTTGATCTGAATGCGTCAACCAAGTGTACAGTACTGTATATTCAGAGACACACCTTTCTTGCCCGGCAGTTATCGCACTGAAGAGTCCGCGTTAGCCCTGACGTCTGATCGATACTGATACGCGCAACGAAGAGCATACTGCCCGCCAGGAGGGAACGTTCTGTCGGGATTGACTGTCGTCCCCCCTCTCCGCCTCACTGCCGCTTTGGTCCATTTTCTAGTACGAGCCGGATCCCGGGGATCGTTAGACACGAGATTTGGGCATACAGACTGCAATGAGGGAGTCGACGTCGTGACGATGCGATGCTCGGAACCCTCGGCTTCCGGACGATCGGTGGAGCCGCTCCGGGCGGATGACTGGTCCGCACTCTACTACAGTACAGTACGTCCAGAGTCACACAACTTAATACAAGAGCAAAATGGACTTTCTTGTTGACTGTAGTTCATTCAAAACTCAAGCTGCGATAAATAATCCACTCTAGCGTCATTCATAACCCATAACTCCATCTCTAAAACATGTCTAGTATGAATCAATGAAGTCGTCGAAACGGCGAAAGACAAAAAAAAAAACAAAAACCCAAAGAGGAGGGGACATGAAGGGAAGGGAAGAAGTTCAAAATGAAGAGGGTTGAAAGAGGGTGAGAAAATGATTAGAAAATAACATTATGTACCAACCCCAAAATACTGGTTGGCAGGATCGGGGTAGATCCATGCAAGTATGTATACAGCAGAGCGTAAGCAGAACGAAGGACAAACATCAGTAGCAGCGTCAATCATAGCACGCCAAGCGCCATGCTGAAAAGCAATGCGAATCCCAAGGTGATGACAGACGGAACACTCGTCAGACTGCCTGCGGAAGACACGGATCCGACTTTGACGGTTGCATTGACAAAGCCCGGACCGCAGCCCATATTGATCTGCTGGGCCGCCGGTATGTATGTCTGCGCGAGAGGCTGTCCTTTGATCACTGCGCTCTCCGCGAAGACTTCCATAGTCGCTTTCAAGCACTCGTTGCAGGTTGGCCGGCTCGAGCCCGGAAAAGAAATGCCGATAGGCAAAAAGTACACATAGTAATCAGCAACGTTGTGATTCGTGGCCGCCTCCGTAAAACAGAACTCCCCAGTTGAGGGGTTCTTGAGACAGGACGCGCGATAGACAGGCTTATACGCGATCATATCCGTGTACGCCTGCACCACGGCCGGATTTCCCAGCTTGTAGTCCTGGCCGCACGCCTTATCACTGATGAGATCCGACGCCAGGTGCGTCATGTAATCTGTGCATGTCGCTTCATTTGCCGAGCAGGATGTCTCGATGACCTGATCTAGGGTGACTGGCGACTGCAATGCTTTGAAGAAGGAACCGGAGTTCTGGAGGAGGAAGGAGATGGCATAGCATGACTTGAAGGTCGAATTGCTGAGGAAATTGGAGAAGAACTGGGGGCAGCTCGTCGCGGTGAAATTGTTTCCCAGCGTCTCGAACGGGCTGGGGAAGGCTGAGTCGGCGGACGTCGACGAGGATGAGCGTCTCACCGTCGTTGGTACCAACTCGCGGAGAGACTCATCATCCGCGACCAAGATATCGACGTCAGTGTCATTGAGATTGGCATCCTCACGTGGGATGGGCGGTGGGTACCGCCGATCAGCGATGATCTCGTCCCATCGGGCCACTATGTTCGTCTCCGCAAGTTCAGATGGATCGCCCGAGTTCTCCAAAGCACCAACAATTGAAGAACAACTGAGAACGATTAGGGATAGTAACGTGAAGAGCGGTGGTCTTGTCAACGTCCAGCCCCGCCAACTGGGCCGTGAACATCCAGATCGCGCCATGACTGAAGAGTCGTATAACTGCAAACGAATGTGTTTTACGCTGAATGCGTCTTTAGTGTAATAAGTAACGAGCGTACTTCGTCTTGGACGAGGCTAAGGAGGGAAGGAGGATCGAGGCGGTTCGTCAGGCATGACAATGCAAGCCATCCACGAGGGAGAGACAGGCCTTGACGGCACGGTGATGTCGGTCGACAACGGTTCTATTCAGCAAAGAACGCCACTTTTTGAGCGATACCTGGCTAGCAGGAAGAGGACAGCCGCATATTGTGAGACTTGGAAGCGCACGCAGACGTAGGGGATGGCTGTTGGTGTGTTTCAGCCCTGGAGGCTGACAGTGACAGCGTCCGTCCCCTTGCGTTCTCCAAACGGCTCCTCAGCACGCGACGGCGAGAACTCGGGACCTTGCAGTCGCCTGCACAGCACGATCTTATTATATCGCGCATCGAAAGGCGTCGGTGGGCCACCGACAGCCGGCAGTGCACTGTTCTCCTAACAGGGCGGAGCGGGGAACTCACTACTGCATGTTATTCTTGGGAATCGGCGAACAAGGTAAGCAGGGCCGAAGACATCGACCGGTGGACGATGGCCCCTAGGCGGAATCAGGGACGAGCAGGCCTGAAAAGGGAAAAGTGCTGCGCGAAAAAGCTTTTTCTCTCAGCTTTTAACTTATTAAGCTCGAGTCTCCCGAGCAGCGGCGTCAGCTAGCAATGAGCTGGCAGCACGGCTGCTCCAGACGGGCAATCCTGCCAGGGGTTGGAACGTTCCAGCCAATGCGCGTGCATGACGCCTGCATGTCCTGTCCATGTCGTCTGGCGCCCGCTTCGCAACGTGACAGATTCAAAAATATCGCCGGACGGACTGCAGACGAGTCGCATGCCAGGGGAAAAATACTCCGTCGCGATGCTGAGCAGCCACGAGGCAGGGGCGAGTGATAGGAAGGCACGGGCTGATTCGCCGGTGGCGCCTTCCCGGTGGAGAGCGCGCCTGGACCACGGTCGGCAGAGGGGCCAGACCAGCGATCGACAGACACAACATCTTGACTTCTCGTACAACAGTGGGAAAGACATCATCCGTCAGATACCAGCATCTTCGATAGCACCTCTGGAAGCTACACTTGTGGAACTGCCAAGTATACTGCACCGTTGTGTATCGTTGCACATAAAGTCCTAGCTTACGGAGTATAGGATACTGGCCTGTGCTGTCACTTCCAGATATCGATTCGCACGACAGATACGCCAAAAATATGCGTGTACGGAATAGGGCCAAAATCTTTAATGCATCTATCCATCCAGAACACCGACGATGACGAGGATACGATAAAGTTCAGCCATATGAACAGCCTAGAATAGACAAGAAAGAAAAAATGCCTATACACAAAATGGAGAAATTGCTTTTCCCACAAAACGCTCAGAAATCATGCCACATGTCACGAGAAGGATGAACAGTAGATTCAGGAATATAGAGCGAGATATACACAGATATATAGGTATTAGTATCCTGTCAGATTGCCGCCGCCAGGCTAGCTCCTGCGGTGTGATGCGTCTCCCAGGGCCACGCCCACCAGGCTCTGCTGCTGGCTGGATTGTCCGCTGAAACCCGTCGGGCTGGTCGCCGGACTTGTGACGGCCTCCTTCTCGCGCTTCACCCGGAAGTACGCCAACTTGGCGAACCGCGAGAGATGGTTCCAGAAATGCCGCCCGGCCTCGTGGTTTGCGATCCGCTCCAGCAGGTCCACGGTCGCTTCGCGCACGTTCACGTCCGGATGGAAGAGCCCCAGGCTGATATAAAACAACCCCGCCTGGCTTTCCGGCGTGACAGTGAGCAACTGGCAGATGCCCGCATAATCCCGCACCGCATGCGAAAAGGCCAGGTAGATGGCTCCGCTCTCCTCGTGGGAGAGTTTCAGGGATCGTAACCGGTCGTGATGGTGCTGCAGGTCCAGTGACTTGATCGGCCCCGACGCGTGGTACGACGAGGCGACATCTTGAATGAAGGCATAGTAAGATCGCGTATTGCGCCAGCCTTCGATGCGCGACACGCTTGCCGCCAGCTCCCGCATTTTGGACGCTTCATCCGGCCAGACATAGCCATGGCCCCGAAGGGACGCCGGATCCGACGGGTCGGGTTTGGCACCACTGGGGCTGGAGGAAGGTTCCTCGCCAGGCCCGATGATGTACAGCGCCGACGCTCCATACACCGTCTCCTCGAAGGCAGCCGCGATGCGGGTGAATTTCTGAATGTAGGCGCGCCATTTCGCCCGGATTGCCCCCTCCCCGTGCCGCTGGGTGATGCTCCGCATGATGTCCTCCATAAACGCGTTGTCGCCCGTGGGATCCGCATGCGCATTATTTTTGTCGTTCTGGTTCGCCGTGACGTTGATATTCTGCTGCTGGAAGTACAGCAATCCCTCCGTGACCGGCGCGGGCTCGATGTGGCTGCTGATTTTCATCCGACCAGAGGGCAGATCACAAAGCAGATCCCACCACTCGGGGTGGTTGGCAAACGTGGGGTTCGTCACTCCCGCGATGAATCCAGGCACCTTGAGAAGATCGTCGATCTTGGTCAAGTCGGTATAGGGGAATGCATGCCGAGTAAACCCCCGCAGGATCCCACCCGACGCCAGCGCACACGCCGCCAGGACCGCCTCTGCTACTTCGCCCGAGGGACGATTGTGCCCGAGGAATACGACGCGCTTCTGGGTCAACATGGCATTCACGAGCACGATAATCGGATGAGTATACGCCCCACTCGTCGTGAGGTGCGGATGAAGCGCGAAAGGTTGAGGCGACGCCTGGTGCGGACCCGCGAAAGTCTGGATCAGCTTGATCAAAGAGAAATCGCCCACGGTCTCCGGCCAGATCGCGGTGGGAACCTTGACGGGTATGGGGATGTCGTTGTAGATGACCTTGGACTCGAACTCATGGGTATCTCGCGGTGGTGTATATTTCGGCTTTGGTGGCGATTCCCCAGGTGAAGAGACAGTGTTTTCGACTCCTTCGTCCTCGAGGCGCTGTTCGATCATGCGTTCGAATTTCTCGATAAACATGTCTTTCGAATCACTGGCCTGCAGGATGCTCCGCTCGAGCAAAGACAGTCGGGGCATGAGCGAAAGGTCCATCGCGTTCACGGCATTGTAGAGCGTGGCCAGCGTTTCGGGATACGGCGATTTGAAATAGTCCTCTAGGGCGAGCAGGAGTAATGGCTGAGTCGGTCAGCTTCATGATGATCGTTGACGAGCCTCCAATCTGAGGCATGACTGGACTCACTTTATATATATGAAGAAATGAATGTCGTGTGCATATTGCCATTGCTTTGACAACAGCACCCCTGTTCTCGTCAGCCGCGCACAGCAGGCCCAGACGGAGGGAGACATACCGTCTAACAGTATTATCCTGTTTCGTATTGACCAGATTCAACACGTACATCAGGGGCGGGCCTTCCCCGCCCTCTTCCTCCTCGTCACTGCTCTCGTCGTCACCCGTCCCTGTGTCGGAGTTCTCTTCCTGCTCGTCATCGTCGTCATAATCTCCGTCCTCGCGCTCCGCCCTTCGTTTTTTTTTCGCTTCTTTTTCGCGCCCTGGGATTCCTCTTCATCGGACCCCGTATCCTTGTGCAGGAAGAAAATCGTCCAATCCTGACTCCGGACATGGGTCTGGTCCGGCAGCATCAGTTCTGCCAGCATGCTTTCGTCGCCACTGATGGGGACAGGATACTGATGCTCCATGATGGGCCCCCGGTCAATGTGAAAGGAGGCCACCAGGATATACTCGACATGGCGCTCGGGGGAATTGCGGGGATATTGGGACTTGTATCGTCGTGGTCGGCCTGATTTTGCTAGATGTCGCGCATGGCTCGGAGATCTTCTCACGAAAGACGATTCAGGGGACAATTGGGACAGTCCGTTGCTGGCCGAACGCGGCGGGCCGGAGGTCGCATACGACCCGAGCGAAGGGTTTCTCTCATGCTGGAGGTTATTATTCGAGGCCGTTCGGTAGGGCAGCGTCGTCGACATGGTGGGAAACTACTACGTCACGCACGCATACTCCGCGGTCCCCAATGCCGGCTGGAGGTGACAATGGCCTATACCAACAATTGGGGATTAGATCTAAATATCCATGGATGGGTCAGGAGGGGATTCCGCGTACTAAAGCTCGACAATTTTTTGGTGGGGAGGATTAGAACCTCACTACTCCGGACAGCCCAAGCTCTGCAGCCAGCACCAGGCACCGTTCACCGCCAGAGCCGCATGCAAGTACTCCAGCGAGGGAGTCTTCGTAATGCAGGGATTCAATCGCTCATGACGATTGCCTGGCCTGGGCCACCTCCTGTTTCGAGGGGGTGTCCCATCGTGCTGTCGTCGATCCCGCACCGCACAGGCCAGCCAGCCAACGGGGTGGGCTAACGCGGTGCTGGAATATGACTGGCCAGTTCGCCGTGCATTTTCTCCAAACGGACCAGTCAGCGTGCGCGGACCAACTTAATTGCTGGGCGTCGAATCCGACAGAAACCGCCAATGACAGGCCGCGACGTGCGTGGCCGGCAACGGAGCGGAGTTGTTCCGTTTGTTTACTCCTGTTATCGCTGACGTCCAGCTGTCCAGCGATACCATCAGATACGCCGATATTAAGCAGAGGGAGTGGATAGTCGAGCGTTCTGTCCATCCATGCGACATTCGATCAGGTTCTGTTGCTGATTCCCCGTCTCCAGACGCATTGTGGTCACCATGGTAAGTCGATTCACGCTGCCTCTGGAGGACGGTCTTCCTAACCGCAAAATAATCCACATCCCCAGGCGACCCATAATGCGCCCTACAAACCGTCTCCTCTTTCTTTCGGATCCCCACGAGCATCCCCCTTCCGGAGACAGTCTTCGCCCGGTTCACCATCAGCAACAATCCGGCCAAACACCCCCGGCAGTTCGCCCGGGAAAGGCCATACTCCGGTGCAATCGCCCAGCAAATTGAACCAATCTTACACGGCCGAAGATGAAGAGGCCGTGGCGAGCGACAATGAACGCCCTGCCACTCCCAAATTCCGGGAACCGCCATCTTCGCCAACGAGAGGTGCCAATGGACGGTGCAGTTTTTCTTCCATGATGGGATCCAAATCGCCCCGTCCGGCTCCCGTGGATAACGATGCTCTGTCACGGATACCGCCCGCGCAGTTGAGGGAGATGCGCGAGGCTTTTCAGGTCCTGGATCGGGACAACGACGGCAGCATTAACCGAGATGACGTTGCCGATGTGCTGGCGAATTTGGGTACGTCTGATAGATATCCTCGAGAGAAAGTGTCCAGCGATCCTAGCGAGTGTTGCTGATGGCTTCATTAGGCCAAGATTCATCCTCTGCCGCAACCTCCCAATACTTTCCCGCTGAAGGGCCCCAGGCCATGAACCTACCCACGTTTCTGAACACGCTATCCACATTGCTGGCTCCCCTCTCGTCCCAGAAGGAGCTTCTCAACGCATTTGCCGCATTCGACGATGACGACAGCGGGCAGGTGGATGTCGCTGAACTGCGGGACGCGCTGCTCCACACCAATCCGGAAGCGGGCGAAAGTCCTCTGACAGAGAAGGAGATTGACGAGGTGCTCAGCGGATTCACCGGCCGGAGGACCTTTGGGGGCAAGGGCAGAGGGGCAGGATTAGGTGGGGTCAAGCGAGGCGACGTCTTTCGGTATCAGGAGTTTGTTGGCAGCATCTTGGGTGGCGCGGATAATGGTAATGGCAACGGCAACGAAGAGGCCACGGTCAAAGGGTGACGTCGGATACACATGGATGGTTGAATACGGATGACGGAGTTTGGGATCATTGCAATCGTTATGCTCGGTTATGGCCTGTTATGATCATGTCCTGTGTATTTAATGTCGCATGAAGTCCGGTTATGAGTTATGCCGATAACTGCAGGAAAGCATCAAATATCGATTTCTTTGTATTTTAACCTCATTGTTTACTCGATACTTGATCTGGATAAACTCCTGCCTGCCAGGGTATTCTGGTCTTGGCAACCATCCAAGGGACACGACGTAAATACGACTAGGATAATTTCGAGAAGCAAAGAGAGGGAAAAGGAAGAAAAATTAATTGGATTGATTCTGGAGGGTTGGGCTGTTGGAGTATGTACTGTGTAGATGCGCCTGTTTGGGATCTCGACCGGCCTCGGAACGCAACCGCCCAACCGTCCATCCATCACTTCGCGCGTCGCGTGCCCCCGCATTCATCCCTCAGCTGCAACGACAGAATTGCTGGACTACATGCCATGTTCGCCATCCCCTGCCACGGCTCTCGAGCGGGCTAAAGACGTGCCCCCTGCCCAGAGTCCCGATCCCACCCACCATTCGGATTCTCTGCCAGCATGATGACCTCCAAGCCGCCGTCGCAGCCGAACAACCTGCCCTCAGCCACTGTGGCCCCGTCGCCTCGAAGACTGCGGAGATTCCAGTCGCATCAGACCCTGTCCTCGAATTCCTCCTCCTCGTCCTTCGCTCAGCAGCATCATCCAACGCCCGCCCAGCATGGCGCCGTTCGGGCGCCGCGAGATTCAGCCCCGAACGAGCAGTCGCAGAATAATAATGCCCCCCGACTGCGTCGAGTGAGATCCAACAGCGATGCGGCGAGCACTAAGAGCAGCACTGTGGCTCCTTCTACCGTTTCGACGAGTACGACTGCTACCACCGCTACCAGACCACGGCGCCCGCCGAGGAAGACCGGCTCCTCGGGCTTTCCCATCAAGAGATCCAACCTGGAGACGCTGCTGCGCGAAGGCCCAGCGGACGGGAAGATCGCTGAGGCATTGCAGGAGTTGAGACTGCTGGTGCTGTCGACGAGGGTGGACGCAGATAGCGACGGGATGGTAGGAATCTAGCACTGTATTTACGACTACGTACTGATTTCTTCGCAGTCGTCCTATCGGATATACCTGTGGTTAGCTCTTCTGAACATCCCCGCCTTGCCGACAGACGACTACCTCTCGCTGGTGCACCGGGGCCGCTCGCCGGCGTACATGAAGATCCGGAACGACACCTTCCGGACGCTCGCGACGGATCCTCTGTTCAAGCGCCGCGTCACCGAGGCCAGTCTGATCCGGTTGTTGAACGCCGTCGCGTGGAAGCTGCACGATGCGCAGAATGCCCAGGAGCAGTCGTCGAGGAGGCGCGAGCTCGACAGTAATACGCCGACGATCGAGGAGGAACCCACCGGTGCGACGACGGCCGGGCCCTGCGAAGGAGGCGCCAAGTCGGCCATCTACGTGCAGGGCATGAACGTGCTGTGTGCGCCATTCCTCTACGCAGCCCGCAGCGAGGTCGAGGCGTTTGCTCTGTTCCACTACTTCATCACCAAGGAGTGTCCCGGGTATATCCGTGGGGCGATGGACGGGGTGCATCGAGGGCTGCAGCTAGTGGACCGGTGTCTGGAGATCGTCGACGCAAAACTTGCCAGCCATCTCTTCTCCCGGGGCATGTACGCGGAGCTGTACGCATTTCCGTCGGTGATGACGCTCTGCGCCTGCACGCCCCCGCTGCCGGAGGTCTTGCACCTGTGGGACTTTCTGTTCGCGTATGGGCCGCATCTGAATATATTGTGCATCGTTGCGCAGCTAAATCGGATCCGCGACACGATTCTACAGAGCGAGAGGTGCGCCCGTCGCCAGTATCCTTCCATATGCCTATTCTTAAGAATATTACTAACTGTATACAGCCCAAACAAAGTCCTGCGAAACCTCCCACCCCTCGACGCAGAGAAGATAATCGGCCTGACCGTTTCGTTTGTCCCGAAGATCCCTGAAGATCTCTATGCGGAGTTGGTCGAGCACGCCAAGTAGCAGGCAGTCATGGCGTTGATATGAATGAATCATTATGAGTTTGTCTTTTCTTTCATGAATGAATGAATGTATGTATGTATACTATGATGACCTTGTCTGTATGTACAACAGGTTTGTTTTTCCATGATAGTACCCGTCGTTTGTCTGCTGGTTGTTTTTTTTTCCTATTGAATTCTTATGGCATGGATGGGATGGGATGGATGGAATAGCATGGCATGGTACGTTCAGGGAGGGAAAAGTGAAACAAAACGATCCGTCTGCATTGCATCTGCATCTGAGCATGTTTGCATTCCACATGTATCCTGTGCTGCTGTTTCTTCTCCTTCTTCTCTGACTGACTGAATGAGCAGTAGACATGTTACTTGACGAGTTATGGCAATGGCAATGACAATGACAATATCATAGACACACACAGACAGTCTTTTCTTTATCTACAAAACAGCAATCATTCCTCATAACCACCTAACTACCTACAGTCCTGGACAGCAACGAATTCTATCCCTAACTACAAGACTCCTCCCACAAACACCTCGGACAGCGACACATCCCTCCCAGGGCACCCCTAGCCCACTCCCTCCTCTGCCTAACATCGAGGTTAATATCGCAGTAGTGATTGAGGATCTCCTCATCTTTCTTTATTCCACCACCACCAGCAGTATCCCTTGTCTGGGTCTCTTTCCCCCTCCAAACAGCCCTCTCCTCCTCCCTCCTCGCAACAAAACATATCTCCCCGCCCCATTCCCACCGCACGTTCGGATCGCACGAGTGGTTCGCCAGACACCATAGCGGATGCACGGCGCATACCTCTGGCCCGCCGTCCCACGTCGAGAGGCGCCCGGACGCCGTGCCCCGGAATTTGGCATACAGCGTGTTGAGAACCCACGTGTCGAAGCGCGACAAGCACGCGAACGGGTCGAGACCCATCTCCTCGAGAAAGCGGGTTGGTTGGAGGATGTTTAGCTGGAAGGAGAAGGGGAGGGAGGCTGTGGCATCGTCGTCTGGATTCAGATCCTCGTCTGGGTCTGAGTCTGGGTCTGCGTCTGCCTCCGCGACGTACTCGTCTAGCTTGTACTCGTGGAAATCACCCCAGATGTACTTCACTTCGGGCAGGTCGAGCGGATGGACGTCCTGCGTCGTGGCCATGGCTATGGCCCGCCCCAGCAGCAAAAGGTACAGATAGTCCGCCTTGTCCTTGGGATCGGGCACGTCCTTGCCGATGGACTCGAGGCCGTCGTGCCCGCAGACAGCGCGGTGGTAGACCTCCTGCGCGCGGTCGTGGCACGCATGGCTGCAGAAGACGGTGTCGTCGCAGTCCTGGCAGGCCACTGCCCCGGCTGCTGACGGGGCAGCGTCTAGCTCCGGCAGAGGAGCATTGCACGCGTCGCACAGATCGTCGTGCAGCCGGTTCGTCGCCGTCAGCAGCGACAGTTCCCGAAGGAGGACCTCGCCGGGCTGGATGTCTTCTTTGGCGAAGAGCCCAAGCTGGATGGAGACCTTGCCTTGTGCATTGTCGTTATTATCGCCTGTAATACTGCCAGCAGCAGCAGATTGACTGCTTCCAGCATCATGCAGCACCGGCAGCGCAACAGCCCTGACCTCACATTTTGGCGCAACTTGCTTCAACTTCTCGTTCAGCAGCCGCAGTGTCTCTGGAGACTGGCGATCGGGCTCGTACGAATTCCAGGGATACAGGACTCTGCGAGCCAAGCCTTGGGCGTTGAGAGTGTGGGGGTTGAAGTCATCATCCTCCTCCTGCTGCTGATCCTTCTGCTGCTGCTTTCGCTGCCGACGCAAATGCAACCGTTTAATCTCCTGCATCTGCGTCTCCAAGCGGGAGACCGCATCGTCAGCTTTCGACATCAGCCCATTTCCACTCCTATTCTCCCCATTTCCATCATTCTGCTGCTGCTGTGGTGTGTGAGATTCATGAAGAGAACGGAGATGCTCAATCCCACGTGCACAAAACTCGTAGGCGTCGCGCAAACAGCCACACCGAAGCAGACTGCGCACCAGAAGGAGATAAACCTCGCCGATATGAGCATCGTATTCGTCGCGAGATATGGCGATGAAGTTGTCGTCGTCGTCATCATCAACACCATTCTCTTGTTCTGGTTCTTGTTGCTCTTCTTCCCCGCCCCCACCATCATCAATATCACCAAGAGGTGTATTCCTCCTCCTCCTCCTCCTCCTCCTCCTCCTCCTCCTCGCAACAAACTCACTCCCCTCAGGATCAATCACCGACTCTAGCAAGATCAGCGCCCGATAGGCATCTGCAGCCGCCAGGTCCGGAAAGCCCAGACGCTCGTGGACATGGCCCCGCTGGAGATGAAGGAAGGGGTTGTGCGGGTCGTGGTCGTACAGCTGAGTGGTGATTTCCTGGCGGGAGCGGAGGAGGGATTCTGCTGTATTATCATTATCGTTCTTATTATTAGTTCGTTTCATCTTCTTTTTATCTTGTGTATGTGCGTGTTATAGAGAGTCTGAGGACATTTCTCTTTATGCATGTAGGTACAGTACATGGAGATGTGTAGATACACTATGCAGATCGACCGATCAGTCAATGATATTTTTTCATTTTTGTGGGGAAAAATTTTATTGGGATTTAGGTACGCGCTATAACACTGCCTATTACCTCGTTAGACTATTACTTCCAGTTCGTAAATTTAAATTATTTCATGCATACATATTCTATTTAATTCCATTCCTATATCTGCAGAGTAGTCTGTTTTATACAAATGACCTCTCCTCGTTCCTTGTCGGATTCTAAAATTTGCCTTTGCCACCCCGCAATCCGTATCTTATCGCCACGTGGATATCCAGCTGGTTCAACTGTATCGTCGAACAGAACCCTGGATCAATAAATCGTAAATAATTTTTTATATGAGTCTTTTTAACAAAAAAAAAAAATAGAAATGGAAATAAAATAAATTCATTCTATTCTTATGCCTATTGATAAGTCAGCCAGTCTAAAGATAATGACAATCAATTTCCCTCTTGCAACATGCGACCTCGAAAATGCTAAACAATACGTAATCCACAGATAATGCACCCTGAATATTAAACTCTGATGAATAGAAGTCTTTCTGCAGTACCCTCCCACAGGACGGCTCACATAACCTACGTAACAGATTAGCAACCGCAGAACGAACAAGCTGACCCAACTTACATTGCAGTTATCGTCCAACACAATCGTAGCACCTTCACCACCTTCGCCGCCCACGGCAGCAACGCCTCCTCCAAGAGCGTGTCGCTCTCGCAATGTCGCAGCAAGACGAGCCAGCATACTTCTCTGTAATCAAGTTAGCTTCTATTGACCACCGACAAAAGTAGCAACGAAAATAGAAAGCACTACGAACCGTTATATAAGCATCGCTCATCCACCCTGCCGGTCAACATCATTCTGAGCAATGATCTGATAGCTGTCCTGCATGCGTTTGCAGCTGCGGAGACCAAAAACTTGATTGCCATCCCCGCCACCCCCGCCATTGCGGGCTCGACTCCTAAACAGATTCGCCGGGTGATCCGGGTTGAGGATATTGATGCCGCGGCGCGCTTCATCCTGGGCGCGTCGGTCGGGTGAGAAAATCTTGATCGTGTTGTCGATCCCGGAGACCGCCATTGTCGGCTCGTAAGGATGACCTGACCCTGTCAGTAATCAGACCAATGACTGCAAAGCGCTAGAGACGCACCTTGTACGACATTGACAATCTCGCCGTCTCCCTCAAGGATATTGACCAATTTCGCCGTCTTCCGCTCCCAAATGAAGACGTGTCCCGAATCGCTTCCGCTCACCACGTATTCGTCGTCCAATCCGAAATAGTTGACATCCTTAACCGTCTTGACATTACAATGTCCACGATAGACGTTCACGTGTGACGAGCACGGCACATGCGCCTCGACCTCTTCTCTCCGTCTATTGCGGAAGTGACCCCGTCTGATGAAAAACCCTCCGATCTCCGACCCCTCATCCTCTTCGTCATCGTCATCGTCATCGTTGTCATTGTCGTCGTCGTCGTCATCATCATCAACATCACCCCCGTCATCATCATCATCGTCATCCTCGTCGTCCATCTCCTCATCTTCATCTCCGTCCTCGGAGCTGTGGTCCACGCTGTCTTCGTTGGACAGCGCGGCGCCCGTCATCTCAACATCTTCCCCAGAGGGCGATCTACGGAGACTGTCACCTTCAGTGTCTACCTCGGAAGAAGAGTTCCCAGATGATGTATTCTCTCTCTGACTGCGACGCCTCCGTCGAAGACGGGCTTCTTCGACCTGCTCCTCCTCCTCGTTGGGATCGATATCCTCCTGCATGCGTTCCCGACCGTCATCCTCGTCCTGATCTTCCTCCACGAAAGTTCTCAACCCGCCAAATGCACGATTGACGAACTCGAAATTGACCCCTTCGCCAGTCTGCATGAGAATGGATCGACCGACCTTGAAGCCCCAGAACCGGATCGCTGCGCGGCGGTTCAATGTACGAACAATCGGTGGTTCTGACGACCCTTCGCATTCTTCTTCACGAGCTGCCGCATTCCCCAAATCCTCCAGAGACAGCTTCACAGCATTCCCGAAGGCAGTCACAGCAGCCGACTGCGACTCGAACACGACGCGAGACTCGTCGTGCTCGAATCTGTCAATATCAACTACAGGCGTCGAGCCGGCCAGCCTCTGAAAATAAGGAATGAGAATGTCCTCGATCGCTCGTTCATCCGCATCGTCCGGTATTGGGAATCGTGCGCGATTGCGCGGGTTATGTTGACGAAGCTTGAATCCTTCTACAAGGCCTGCTCGACCCCGTTCAAGCCAAAGTATGATGGCTTTCAGGAAGTCATAGCCGAACTGAGATTCCGGGTCAATGACACCATCTTCTGACGGTGCAGGAACGATCTCCCTAAACAAGTCCTCCTGGGAACTGTCTCCCTCTAACGAACTCTCCACTCTGCCCCCAAGGAAACGAGCTAACGTTCCTGAAGCCTGCACGAATCTCCGGGCCGATTCGCGATTGCGACGGAGAGTCTGTTGAAATATCACATCGTCTTCTGTCGGATTCAGTGGGTATCTCCAATTCCTGATGACCTCGTCCATCTGCGGGAGGTATGTCGACGCACATTCCAAGGCAGAACTGAACGAGGCTGCGTAAGGGGTAGAATCGTAATACCTTTGCGATTCGGTGGCCTCTCGGACCGACGCTTCGAGAGAGAAAAGAGTTTTGCGCAGCTTGACAAGGCCCTTGGCGATCCGCAGACTCAATTTCTGCGCTTCGTTGAGAACCGACTCCCGGGCTCTCTCAATGACGTCCTCAGGCGACTCCGATGCAGGATCCGTGAGCGGTGGGATCGGAATATCCTCGGACTGTCCGTTGCCGTAACGGACTCTGAACGACATTTCAGGGTCTTCACTGCCGGGCTCTTCCGATCGCCTGCGAGACTGATGCCTGTTCCCACTATCGAGAGACGTTATTGATGTGACTTTTTCACGCTTCCGTTTCCTTGTCTTTGACCTCTTCCTGCCGGAAGAAGAACCTCTCTGGAACGAGTCTCGGTCTTTCTCCCCGGCTTCGCGTGCATCGTCGCTGCGGATCAGGTCAAAGCTATAAATGTGTTCTCCAGACCAGCTGACAACCATCTCGTTCGGATAGGCATCGCTGATCTTGCAGGCCGTGATGTGCCCATTGTCCTGCGGTCTCATTCTCTTCTGGCCTCCCGGGGCAAATCTGCGGACACACCTTGTTGCTCGCCCCATCTGCTCATCGTCGCTAGTCCCGGGGATCGGCGAGAAACCGCCCGGTTGACCCCTCTCAGCGAGTAGATCGCGCCCCATCATGCGCCTGTCATGGAGGAAACAATGGAGATGGGCCCCTCCGAGGGCGATGTAATGTGGCTGACTGGAAGCGCAGGATATGGTGTTGAGATCAATATGGTAGCGTTTATAGGAGATCAGTGGAGGAGGCACATTCGAGTCATCGTGTTCGAGACCAGGTCGGTAAGCCATGAAGCCTTGGCCACCCCGAGGGGCCGGATATGCGGAAGAGGGCTGACGCAGATCCCATTGACGCACTTCACCATCCTCGGAGCAGGTGAGGAAGAGGAAAGGGGACGATTCGGTGACAATCCTTTTCACTCGATCCGCGTGGCACCTGTAGACGCGAGCGTTGGTGTTGCGAGTAGTCAAATAGCGCACGCCACTGAAGAAATCGGTCATCCGTCGGCTTCTGGCCGATGATGCGAAGCTTTCTGAGGGAGGGATGTTGCCGTTCCTGGCCGAATACTCGACATCAAATACGCGAACTTCGGAGTCGCCAGCACAGCAAACGAGGGTCTGGTCGTTCGAGTGGGGCATGAACTTGACGGAGAATATGTTGGCCCTATGACCGGTTGCGATCGTGGTATTCAGGGCGAAGGGGCTGGTCGATGAGTCAGGCTGGTAGGAATAGATATTCAGATAGGTATCATCTGAACCTGATGCCAGTAGGCGCCCTGTCCGAGACCAGCTAAGCAGTGTTAGCATCCACCGTCTAGAAACAACAGAAAGACAAAAATTCACAATCGATGAAACAGAAGCGAAGATACATACGTCAAGGCATTGACACAACCCGTGTGACCGCCCAGCTCGTTGACAATATCCAGATCATCGATCCATTCCTTCGACCCGTAGAGACCTGGGATCCGGCCGTAGTAAGAGCCATCCCCCAGCTCCCTCCGCAGAATGCGGTCGTACAACGATGACTTCATCTTGTTTTAGGCGACGGACGACGTTACACAACCTGGTCAAGGGGGAATCCTTGCCGTGCCGATGATTATGTAGCGGCAACAAACGTCATAACGCGGGAACCGTCGAGCTTGGCTCAATCGACCACTAGTTTGGCCGAGAAAAAAAGAAGAAGAGAATATCCCTAAGGAATGTCCTTGCTGTCTTCTCTTACTGGAAGCCTTCAGCAGAAAATTCACCAGGATGAAATTCACTGTAAGGACCGGTCAACAGTCGCACGCGATGGGATTCTCCGGAATGCCGCAAACGTGAGGGTCCCGACACCCGGAGCTTTAACGACGAGCCGCCAGCGGTTATCGATAATGGGGAGAGGCGTGGAGCTAGCTAGGCCAGTAAGAGAAAGACTATATAATCACACCATACGGCACTTGCTCCCGAGCAGATACCGATGCGGTGAGCTGAGCCCGGGCAAACTCAGCGTTCCGACGGTGAGGGGAACGGGAGAGGTATGTCGAGGATCACGAGAAGCAAGAGCTGGAGGGAGGGGAAAAAGATTACCACGTCAAGAAGGGCCAATGCAGCTGGCTACTTAGCTAAGGTAGGGACCGACCCGCGCGAGAGGAGACACGACCAGAGGAGCGAAGGCTGCTGGAAGAGCGATGGAAAGCCGGAGAAGGAAGGACGGGTCCCCACCCAACGTCACTAGTAGTCCACCCGTGCTTGGGACGATGGCAGACGGCTGGAAACTCGTGGACAAGATGGAGTAGAACCGGTCGTAGTTGAAGAGGTGCGATCAGCAGGGAAGAAGAATCAGGATAACGGACTGTGGCAAGTGATGGTCGGGGAAAAAAGAAGGCCGGTGTCTGTGCCTTCCAGCCTGGTGTGGTGAGATTCCTACTTTGGTAACTGCGTTGCCCCATATCCCGTTTTTTTAATTAATGGCAGACGGAACGCTTTTCATTCCTCTCCACGTCCACCTCGACCCGTCGATGCGTCTGGGGAGACACGTCTTAGCTCTGGCCGCTATGCTTATTGGAGGCAAGCGTAACTTATCTGCTTATCATTCCATAAAGCACCCCGTGGGACGGGCATATCTGAGGAATGGCTGAGATTGTGATTGGGATATAGAAATTATTTCTCATCAGTGCTACAATTATAAAGCTACCATTCATCAATATCTTAAGTCCTTAGTGCGTGGTATCAATTGATTTTGTTGCACGTTCAGAGAAATAAAGAGAGACAATTTTACCGCTGGAAACCTTAATAGGTTTCTGACTGCAAAATGGAAGTCTATTTTCAATCACGAGAAAACCCAGAAAAAAAATTTGCCAAGTCAATAAATAAATATCATAAAATGATGTCCAGAAAGGCAGAGTAATGCTGGTCGCCATGGCCTACCACGTCAGTGCGATGTACTGTGCAAATGCTGTAGAGTGCAAAAATGCACTCAGTGTATAATCGGGCTCCTCCACTCATGGTCCTGAAACAGTGCTGGAAAAAAAAACCTGCTTTTAAAAAATTCCTCATACGATTATATCGTATCTTCCAAATCGTGATCTTCCTCGCGCATTGAGGTATCCTGCTTTTGAATTGCTACTTGCAGAAACAGCATGGAGAGTGAGTGCTTGTTTCACTTTGGACCAGATACTGGTGGAAATGCCCACAGCTGTTTGCACAGCATCGTCGAGACACCCTGTTTCGTCATGTAGCTCTCTCACCGCCGTTCCTATACCCTGGAACGTCCTTTCCAGCCGATCAATACCTGCACGAAGTGTATCCATAAACAAGCGTGACATTCTGATGTCGTCAAAGCGTTGGCAAAAAAAAAAACATGCAGCTTCGAATCAGGAAACACGAAATCCCAGGTCGTGCTTTCACTCTCCACACACTCAGTTCCTCTGATTCGAGTCTTGGTGTCTTGCGAATGACGAGGTGCACGGATGGCGTCATATCTCGCGTTCCAGATGCACGAGTACCGAAGGCCATTTTTTTTCCCGGCATGATGCTGAGTGAGACGCTACGCTAAGAGATGCATCTGACTTGCAACCAGCGCAACCATAAGCGAGTCAGACCTAGCTGACCAAAACATTGTGCGCCTCCTGCGGCCTATGCTGCATGCTTCTGCTTGTTGCGGTGATGATCTGCGAGGCTCCCTAACGGACAGTAGTGGCGATTACAGCTCAAGCAAGACTGACATACATATAATATTTCTCGTGCGTCTCAAGTTCGCTTCCAAGCCCCGATTCTAGGACCGCGATGCGCGATACTGCTTTCATCTACAGCCCGCAGTCGGTCGGCGGTCTGTGCCGTCCATGATCTTTCCAATCCGACAATGTCCATTTCGGTTTTTCGCATTGTTTTCAATTCTTCCATCATAGAGACCAAAAGATCTTTGTGGCCGTTTGCGATCCGCAGAAGTGCTGCATCAGAGTTTCCAAGGTCCTCGGGAGGAGGGATGTCCAAATTTTGCAGTTCCCGCAGGCATAATTCGACTTTCGCACCCAGTGCATTAACTTCTTCTTTCCACTCCCGATCGAGTGGATGGATAAATTCTGGCTCGTCGGCAAGAGTGTCTATCTTTGATCGCCTTCGGCTATTCCTGATCTGAACCACTCTTTCGAGCCAATCCTCAAAGATCCGGACCGCCTTGGTATATCGCCCCCCATGAGGCTCTGACAGGTCCATGACTTCCTGAATAACGCGTGAAAGAGTCTGTATTTGTGCCGCAAAATCTCTGCAACTGCCATGCCTTTGCGCATTCGCCGACCAGTGATGTAAGGCTTGGATATTCAGCAGACGTTGGGCATCTCTTTCTTCGGCGAGGAGCACGCGATAGCGTCCTGCGACAGAGTCGTATTTCTTCCGTAATTCTTTTTCTGAATTCGCTCGCCATTCGGCGTTCTTTTGGGAAAGGGAGGAATGCAGGAGGCACAGCTGTAAATATTCGGTCTGCAACGCGGCAACATCCGGTCGAGAAGCCGGTATCGACCCAGCATCTTCTGACTCTGCAGAGCGAGATGATAGGTTGGCTAACGTCGGCGGTTTGGATTCCTTCTTCGGACTAAAATGTTGCTGGTATGTCGTGAATGGTGGTCGTTGTGGTTTGGCCTTCGAGAGGGAGGACGATCCTTCGGTCTGCCTCACTGCTTGGGTCGCAGCCGCACCCACAACCTGACTGCGATGCCTCACATGCCCTTTGACTTCTCCAGGCGGGACGATCTTGGGGGTGGATGGTTGTCGTAGAGAAGCGGATCTCGTGGCACGAGGCGGGGGTGGCATCTGCGATTTCTGCGGCGAGCTCGGAGCTGTTGGCTTCGACTCAAACAGCTGTTTTCTTAGAGGTGATCCCGGTATCGCAGCATTCTGGTCGGTTGGTGTCTCAGGCGGCACGATTCTGCTAGATAAAGATAGCCTGCGGTCTTGAGGCTGAGCTAGACTTGAGCGACGTGCTGCAGGCGTAGAATCCTGCTGTTGAGACTGTTGCTGCGGTCCAGACCCCGGTTGTTGCAGTCGACTCCCTTCATTATTATTTTGACCCTGCACTTTCTCCGAAACCTCCCGTTTCTCTCGTACCGAACCGCTGCGCTGGGGCAGAAAGCTCTTTCTCTGGGTCGCAACATTGTCTCTTCTGGTCGGGGCAGGAATCGACGAAGCGACTGCTTTGGACGACGGCTGTCGTTCGGCCCGGCTTGTCTCGACTACCAGTCCCCCGGATCCATTTCTGGACGTATTGATTGACGGCTTCATGGAGTTCAGCTTATTATTCGCAGGGATTCGTCCGACGCTCGAGCTCTGGATTCCTTAGTTTTAGAGGTGCAACACTGCGCGGCCGGTCAGGGACCAAGCGAGTGCCTCGGTTCACTGACCTTTTGGGTATTCGGGCGAGCTCCCGGCAATTGAAGTGTAGCGGTCGATAGCGGCATTCCTATCGACAAGAAAGCTATCAATAGAATGCGAAACCTGCATGTGAAGCTGGAGATGTTGCGGTCTGAGGTGAGGCGTGCGCAAGTGGGACGAGCTGTCAACAAGCTCGGCATGGATCGACCAGTTGGCCCAACCAGCGACGTCGCCAAACAAGCAGCCTCCAACACATTTGCTTGACTCAACCTCGAAGCCTACAGAACTGATCTAGGAATTCCAAGTAGTCTATCAATTCGAGGATCATAAATTGGGTGAGTTTCTCACAATTGGTGCTCTATATATCTGAGAACAATTACCCGCACCCTTACTGTCCTTGCAGACAGATGCTATTCCTTAGTTCCGCTCGTCTGTCGGAAAACCATATCACACCTCTGTACGGTATCAGACAAAGGGAGACGGAGGACCAGAGATCCAATATCCAACCATTTTTACCGAAGGAATAGCTCATCATTCGGGAAGATAGAAACCCCATGAAATTGCACTGGTGTGTGTATCATCATACTTTCCACCAAAAGCCCCTCACATGCCTGAAAAATTGCAGAATAGCCTCCATTAAAGTAGTCCATTTCTGAATTACCCCAACCGTTGCGCTTCCCCATCCTTATCCTCGAGACACTCAATCACAAACTCGGGCGCTTGGGAAATGAGACGGTCTCCGCCGCTGCGTTATCGGTGAACCAGCTCACCTTGTCGCCAGCATGGGTATTGACCAGGCCACTTGGCAGGCTGTGGCCTTCCTCCGTGTCGAAGACCTTTTTCAAGATATCTTTCTTCCCCGCACCCGTCGCGACGAACGCAATGCTCAACGCATGAGACACCACCGGCAACGTAAGGGTAATCCGTTTTGGCGGAGGCTTGGGAGAGTCGGTAACACCCACCACCCACGCATCATTCTCTCGGAGCTGAGGGTGAGCAGGGAACAAACTACAGGTGTGGCCATCCGGTCCGGTGCCCAGCAGAATGAGGTCGAAGACAGGCAGCCTGACGCTGTCCTTGGCGGCAAAGGTCCGCATCAGCTCCTCCTGATATAGATCGGCCAGTTCCGTGGGGTCTTCGTCGTTGACGTGTTTGGGATCAATGGTGTGGACGGTGGGAGAACCCAACTCGGAGGGGATTTTGTCGAGAAGCTCATCCTTGATCAGACGATAGTTGCTGTCCGGGTGGTCCAGAGGGACAACACGCTCGTCGGCAAAGAAGATATCCCATTTGGAGAATTGCGGCGTGTCCTCCGGGGTGCCATTACTGGGTGCGAGAAGGGCCTTGGCCAACGTGCCGGGCAAGGAGCCTCCAGAAACGGCCACGCGGAACGTGCCATGTCTCTTCAACGCCGCGTTCTGGTTGTTGAGGACATATTTCCGCAGCTGCTTGGCAACCGCGTCGACATCCGGGCAGCTGTAGAGATTGGGGGTGCCCGCCATGACGAGGGGATTCGCGTTCTGTTGTTTCGGAGATGTCGTTGGCGGGGTAGCGGGGTACTCGATGCGGCAGAGCGCGCAGGGCGGCGGGCGACGACACAATCGAGACGATCCAATCGAGGACTGTCCAGCGTCGAGAATGGCTGTGAATTCAAGTGATGCGCCGTGCACGCCTGGAGGAGAAGGGTGTTGAGGGAGCTTGAAGGGACAGGTGATCAGGGAGCTGCCATTGGCGGGGCAGGAACCGTAGGAAGTCCGACAAAACGTGAGCCAATGGGCCCAGCGTGCAATTACTCCGGCTGCCGTCACGCACTTGATTTATCAACGTAAAGCCGATCTCGACATGACGTCCGTCGTCTCCTGACCGCTTGTGTCTCTATTTCCGATTCTAGAATCCTCTTTCCGTATCGGAGGCAAATCCTGGCTATGTACCGTTGAGGCAGGATGGGTCCTCATTTATTAATTATCAGTATTATCAGTATGGGCACAGTCTAATCCTCTTGACCAGTCGAGATGCTGTCTCTTCACAGTCATGACTATGGTAGAATCATATGGAGGACATCGAGGTCACGCTTGGAACCCCACCAGGCGTGGTTGACAGCCGGCTTGAAGCCTGAATGCGTGTACTCGTGCAGGCGCAAGTGCCAGAGGAATTTCAACGGGCGTCTTGTCCCGAGTCACATGGGGGCGTGACTAAGCAGAAAGCGGTCTCGGAGTGCGGTTTCCTCGGGCGCCCTCAATAATACTCTCTCCCCTCACGTTGCTTGTACTGTACATACTTGTACAGTCCATACAACTGTCCGCTTGTCCCGTTACCTAGGGAATTAGTTACGGCTGATCTTTCGGCTTTCATGTCCTGGAAACCAGTGGTTAATGCCGTGACGTTTGCAAGCTGGCATCTGCAGGTCGTGCATGCACTTCAACCCATTCAGTTTGGAGCCCGGGGGGCTTTACGTCATACGTTATGGCCAGTGTGCCGCATGGATTTGGCAGCCGAACAGACACCCGCCCTGCAATGTAACCTGCTCGCGACAAAGTTTTCGGTGGATATGTGATTCGGGCTGCAGAATAGAAGAGAGGAATCATGACATATCGAATATGGGAGGCCTTGGGGGAAAAGAATGCCGCAGGAATTCCGCAGGATCTCTTTCAAGGCACCGAGCCTAATATCAACGATCGCGTCGGGGTGGGGACTCTGTCCAAGGCGGTTTAAATTGGGCCATGGTGGGGAGAACAATAATTGCAGCCCCAAAGCTGAGGCTTGACGGTCCCAAGCCCGAGGTTGCAAGCTGAACGTCTCCTCAGCCACCCAGTGGAGCCCGTAGCCAAACCTTGCTCACCGTCGGCGGTGCAAAATTAATTTGGCGGCCATCTCGTCCTAAAAACAAAGAAAAAAAAATTTGTGAAACAGGGCATTGATGGTATCTCGGAATTCACGGCGACACCAGCGCTGGTGCTGAGTGGAGGACATCATAAATTACACTCGCCACTGAACTGTAACGACCTGCGAGGGCTGAAAAGTCTAACGCTGTAGAGACGCCTGAAGATACCGGCGCAGCTGATAGCGAGTCTGTGACCCCGTGAAGCGCACACTACGCTCTGGGAGACACTTAGTACCCGACCTGCGAGCACCAGGCGACGAGGTGATTGGGCGAGCTGCATCTCTGTTGAAACAAGCGGGAATGCCGGATGGTTATCGGGCGGCAGATCTCTCCCTTTGAGGCCTTTTTTCTCGCTCGATGGGGAGGGGTCAATTTGTTTACAGGCCAAGGCCCAAGACGCGCTGGTTGCTGGTATCAGTCCTAACTTCTTGGCCAAACGAAAATCCGTTGCAGTAGTCGCCAGTCGGCTCGACACGCCCATCTGTGCGTCCTGTCGGGGCGGGCTGTGCACTGAGTCAGCAGCTAATGCCGGGGCTGTTATGAGGTGAGCAAGGCACCGCGCCCAGAGGACTGCCGGGTTGCCGGGCAGGCATTGGAAATGGCGATATCCTCATTTTGCGGAGTAGATTTCAGGAGGCCATTCCAATCGTCGACGCGTGGTGGTCTGACAGGTCGTGCGGTGCAGCGATGCGCAGGCGGTGGTGGGAGATGGAGCCAGAGCCCCATCGTTCCATGTATGATGACGACATGAGTCGTGCTTAGTGACGCGACGACCTGCAAAAATTCCGGCCTTGACACATGGTGCCATTCCAGGCGTTTGTCATCTGCCTGCAAGGAGAGCAGAAGACTAATGCTCTCAGGGACTGAATTGTGAAGTTGGGACCAGGCGTCTGGGAGAGAAATCCTGGTCAGGCGCATATAAGCGACTCCAGCCTCCGCCTCGCCCCGTTCCCGCAGTCAACTCTTCGCAACGCTCGGCTGAGCCCCCTCGCTGGATACCCAACATCAACGCTCTTGCTCCAGTTCGCGCCTGCTAAGCGTATCTGAGCGCCCGAAATATCGGTAGGCGAGCTCCTTCCGGCCCAACCGACCACACGGACACGGGGTGGTCTATCCACTCGCTTGCTAGCGCGTACCCCGGGCCGCTTAGGATTCACGGCTGATCCCTCGCTGCTCGACTTAAGGCTGGCTTATTTCTGCCTGCCAGACCACCTCTCTCTCCTTGCAACCGTCTTCCTTCGCCTTCACGCCTTGCTTGCGCATCGCTCATACCTCATCTCCAAGATGAGCTCCTCATCCGTCCATCTGCAGGCGCAGTCCTCCGGCGTCTCTGGGTCCATGACCCCTCGTTCCTCCGCCGAATCGACCCCGCCCGTTTCGTCCTTCGATATCGTCCGTTGCTCAAGGTGCCAGCGCTCCCTGTGCATCGAAAATCCTTCCGCGCCTTCCCCTGGTGTCGTTCAATTCGGCATGAATTCTTACTACTGCAGCCGCTGTGCATCCATGGTCGGCTTCGTCCGCTGAAACAAGTCGCATGCACTCGACTGTTCCTACTGTTCCTTCCAACTCTCCTATATACGTGGGACATGCCCACAAGGAACGAAAAGCCATGACAACGCTCTTTTCGACTCTATACTCATGCCTCTCTTGACGACATCACACGGAATTTTTAATCTCTGATCATATTCAACAACAATGTTTATCAACGGGTGACTTTCTTGACGAATCGGGTTCAGAGAATAAAAAATGGTGACGACTATGTCGGTGGGAGCAGAGAACGAGGTACACTTTTCAGCGTGAAAATGCCTTTTTCGATCCCGTCGACATTGTCGACGATGTCGCTTGTCGTCTCTCCGTCTTCCACCGCGCCGATGGGGACGGAGTGGATATTGTCGCGAAAATATATCTTTATATGCTGTTGAATCTTCGACTTGAATTGAACAACATCCCAGTGAACCCTCATGTTTGTTCCTCCCTTCGAAGGTCGACACGTCTCTCGCTGAAATTATCGCGAAACAAAATGAATCGAACTGAGCAGGACTCACCATAGTGATTGGAAATTTTGGGAATACATTATGAGTGGAAGAATGTGTGTTGCAGTCTTTACGAAGCTATTGATGCGAATGACGAGGAAAGGGCGGTACTGCGGAATCGGCACCGTTCGTGCATGTGTCTTGTTTTGGTTTTGGTTTTGGTTTTTTTTTTTACTTTCTTTTTCATGGGCTCATTCATCTTTCTGGATCTTGGGACATAGAACGGTTTTGGTTCCTGCTTTTTAGCGTCATTTTGATTTAGTTCGTTTTGGAAAAGGACACTGGAGTTCTTTGAACGGCGCTCTTTTGTTTTATACCCCTGACTTCCAGACCTTTTGTCTTCCCCCTTTTGAGATACCATTTTTGCTTAACATTCCTCTTGCATTGTATACCCTGTCGAAGCGCATTATATGAAGAAGGATGGACATTTATCGGCGTTTACTCCATGTACGGAGCTACTGTGTATAGCTAACCAACCTGTGGGAAGAGGAGTGCCAATTTTCTCGTCTTCCTACTTGTTTTGGTCACTATCCTGCAAGAATTCAGTTCAGAGTCTTATAAATGCTATTCCTGTTAGCTCTGATTATAGTCATTTGCTTGGTCCAGTTTCATTCACACTTCATCCAGCCTCCAAACAAGACGGATACGAACGAATAGGTCAACGAGTCCATGAACAGTGCACTCCCTCGGTCGTTTCCGGATTGTTGTTCAGTACGATCATCCATCATCCACCATCGGAGCAGATCATACCAGACAGCTTGCAGACAGTCTGTACTGCATACATGAGAACAGGACTGTGACGTAATAAACGATGGGGAGGCAGGTAGGGCGTAGCGCGTACTACTCCTCCTGTACTAGGTGAAGATCCCATGCATGCCAATGACCTGCCTTAGCCGAGTTCAGACAGCTGAAACAGCCATGACAGCCAATTGACGATCTTCCATATTTAGGTACGAATCAGATGACCATTGCTCATGACAGTTTTCGATCGTGTCTAGAATTCTGCCTAGGACAAACAGCGGCAGTCCATCACGACTAGGGCTGGGAGTGACGTTGCTAAAAATGGATGGCATGTATCAGGATCAAATAGTCGGTAGCCAAGGAGGATAGGAAACATTTACAGGTCACTTCCTCTTGGACCATTGTTTGCCGGAACAGAGATGGATCTTTTGTACCTGCCCACCGCAGAGCCAGCCTCGCGTTTGGCGCCTTGTCTTGGCATCATGCAACAGTTGTTTGATCACGGCTTGTCTCTGGACCACGAATCCTCCGCATCTTGTTGGGCAGGTAGTCTTTTCTTTGCTTTTTCCTCCCCGGTCTCTGGATCGATGATACCGTTGACACTCTGGGTCGGGATCGGCCTTTGCCCTCAGCTGCCTCTCGCACAGATCCTGGGTAGACATCAGATGCCCTGCGAATTCAGGTAACCACTCACGATGGCCGTTGCGGGCGTGAGGCCAATGAGGTCGACCAGAAGCCATGTCCGAACAGTGCCCGTCGGTTGATGCTTGCCAGTTGCCACACCGCCAGGAGTCTCAGCCCAGTAGGGAGGCGCTCCTACAAAGGCAGCTGCCCCATTCGGCCAGCAATTGCAATTTCTGTCCGAAGAAAGCCGTTCCCAACCTGCTGGTTGCCCTGTCAGATCGCAGCACGCGACGCCTCGTTGTCTACGAGCCTGACCTCAACCATTGTTGATGCTGGAGGTCGACGAGGCGGTGAACCGCAAACCCCCCATGGCCGCCAATACGGATGGAATAGCGGTGCCTGACAGAGTGCACATATCCGTGTGCCCTCTCTCCAGCTCTCTCTGTGAAAATGCAGGATAGACCAATTGGTCGATCCAAGTGGCTCCTGGATACGGAATACATCTCCAAGACACGACACTGACGAAGCCCTCTCCACAGTGGCAGGCGGCCGCAGTCAGCCACGATGGCCAGATCGAATGCAGCGTGGATCATCAAATCTTGGACGCGGCCCGACCAGCATGATCCCAGACTCGCAAGGCAATGACAGCCCGCTCGCAGTCCAGGAGGAGCGCAGGCAGCTCAGCTGAGCGCTTGCAGCCTCGGAAAGGCCCGAATGAGAATGCTGCTGTCCAACCCAGCGATGTATCTTGCGTGGCACGCGGGACGAGGAGAGCAGGGGCTTGGCTGTCTCCGTTATCCCTTCTTAATTTCCGCACCCATCACGACGAGACTGCTCTCATGAATGCTATGTGACTAATTACAATAATCTCAGGACGACTATTAATAAAATTCCGTTTCTCGTTGCGCGCTCCACTTGATTTAGGACAGCTCTGAATCTGATGATTCTGATCGACCAGCCACTTCCGCGCTTCGGCCCCGCTACAAGCCCCGGCGCATGGTTTCCTGCTCTGATAGCTCACACGCGCTACGGAGTTTATAAAGTACCAGTCGAATGGCGACGCTTCTTTGGTTGACGGGGGTCTTGGATGCACGTCGAACTCATTAGCCCGACGGCATGGACACTTGGGTGGATGATCCGGCGTCTATGGCTGCCGTCCAACTCCGAAACCGACTCGACAGAGTCGACCCAGCTGCCGTCGAGTTTCGGACCGCACTGTTGGACACAATCACAGTGGTCCCTCAACAATATAAGACCCGCATGGCATTCCGTTAGAATCGATGGCGTGTATCGCGGATGATCTCCATGTGGCTCCTCTATCCACTGCGGGATCAGAAGTGGCCTGCCAAAAGCAAAGAGGAGCTAGTTATTGCTGACGGCTTCTCCTCCTGACTCTTAACAGCATTGTGGCATTGCAAGTTGACTAGATGTGTCGTCAAAGTACAGTACATGCTGCAGTGACCGTCGTTGTCCAGCTCGACTAGCATGCGCATACGAAGGATGACAAGAACTAGTCTTCCAATTGTCTTTGGTCGAGCACTCTCTTTCTCTCCCGTTATTGGCTTCTTGAAGTGAGTTCCGGCGTAGCAGAGAAAGTTATACCCTTGCAGTGAGAGAAGTTGCAAATCTATCTAAGTCGTATAGTCCAAGTCAGATCGATCTTGCTGTGGAGTACGAGAAAAAGAGGTAATATTGTAATATTAGACCGGAGATATTCGCAAAATAAGCTCTCTATTGGGGCGCCTCTAGTCCCTCCCTATAAGGTAAAATATTGCCTGACAATTTCAGAGAATTTAACTGGGAAATATGACTTGTGAGTGAGTCTGTGTCAGCCAAAAGAAAAAAGCAAAGAAAGAAAACCGAAATGGAGGAAAAAAAAGCAAGGCAAAGCAACACAGAGACCGATCTCCGGTTCCAAACGAGGCTGCCAGAAATGCAACACTCTTCCCTAATTCGCCCATCATGGCCAATGTGGCTTCGCTTACCCTGCCAGCGTCCACTCCCTTTTCGCTGTCTTCGAAGCCTGCCTGCAATGACCGCCTTGTGCAGAAAACCCTCCCCCCGGACGCACAGCGACTCTCCGATGCGCCAGTCTGTGGGACCTTCTGCAGGATCGTGGACTTGGGTGGAATGCTGTCTGTCTGTCTGCCTGTGAGTCTTCTTATTATTTGAAATGAGTCGTTTCTTGCGTCTTGCTCTTGTCCTCATTCATTCATCCATCTCCTCCAGTCACGAAGAAACCTATTTTCTTTTTCTCTCCCCGCCGTATGGTATTTTGGTGCTGGGGGAACGCCTAGGCAGGCAGCAAGTCAATATCGTATCATATCATATTAGATCTTAATGTGAGTGCCGTGTCCTGTCTCATTGCGAGTTCTGCTATTTGCAGGGGTTTCTGGAAGCGGTGTATGTACTGACAGGCACCTATCCAGAAACGACATCCTATCTTACGATCTTCGATATCGAGATCTGGACCAGAGCTGTGTTTGCATTAGGGTTGCCAGCTGTCGTCCAGTGAGTGAGGCATCTAGTAAGGAATCTAGCTTAACAGCCTTGAACTGACCGGTTTCAGGACTTTCTTAATAACACATCAATTGGAATTTGAAACTGGTTGTTGATCTCTTCCCAGACACCCTTCTTCACTAGGCTATCGCCAGGATGACTCAATCCCCCCGAGGGAAGGGACGGAGCAGAGGCACTGAAGAAGAATTCGTCTTGTACTTGCAGGGAGTAAGTGCCTGTCGTCCTGTCGTCCATCTGGGAAATCTGCTGACTGATATAACAAGATTCCTCCGCACTGTCGATGGCAAGAACTCAAGGATTTCATCCGTCAGAGTGCGCTCCATATCCGACAGGCGGTGGTGTACGATGACCAGCAGGGCTATCCCACAGGGCTGGGGCAGATCATTGTGAAGAATGAAGACGAAGCATGGCGGACCTATCGTCTGTTGCCTTCCTCCTCGAACCGTCTGGGTGTATGCCAGCTAATCTTTTCTCCACAGAGAGGCTATCGACAGGCGGCTGGGACGGACAGACCCTGACCGTCACGCTGGCCCGAGCAAGCTCACCGACGCGGCCGATTGCTGGGCCTACGCGGAGTCCAACGCGTTTTCCACAGACGTCGTACGTACAAGGCTATTCGAAAAGTGCAGCAGGTATCACGGCTCCAGCGTCTCCCATATCATCAGAGTAAGCAAGCAGTCCTCTCCGAAGCATTGCGTGGATGAGGTTACGTTAACGAAGAATACTATTTCAGATCGATGGCTACACCCCCAGCAAGCTATCAGTCACCAGAACCTATAACGATTGTGAACTACACAGGAGTCAACAATGTTATGCCTCTTCCAATGGACCCGATGTTTCAGCCGGTTCCCTGGAACACAGCACCCGCTAAGGGGGCAGCTCCTTTTCCGAACTCGCATGCTGTACCTACAGCTGCACCTGCACCGATGTTCACTCCTCCATTCGATCCGGCTGCGTATTCGTTCTATCCGTATCAAATGCCGGCAGTTCCCCCGATGTACGAGATTCACGTCCCCAAGCCGCCCATTCAGAATAACTGTCGGACAGATATGTTCCAACAGCAATACTACCACTCCTACGGCTACGAGATGCCTAGCAATATGAATAACATGGCTGCTGCCAATGTCAGTTACCCAACTTATCCACTCGCTGGCAGTGGCAGTGGCAGTCGCAGTGTCCTTATCCAAAATCTCGCTCCTGACGTCAACCAGCAAGTCCTCGAGGGGCATTTCCGTGTCGCAGGGACCATCGAATGGTGCGAGATCATATCCGAGGAAGACGGCAAGCCATCATCATCATCTTCTTCTTCTCATTCTTCTTCTGGCAGTCGGAAAGTCTCGGGCTCCTACGCAACAGCCACCTTCAGGACAGAGGAAGAGGCGAAGCGAGCAGTGGAGCTGTGCGACAGGAGTCTGTTGATGGGCAGGAAAATCAGAGTGAGGCTCGACTGGGAGGCAGAATCGATATCGAATCCAGAAACGAGCGGTGATATACCGACACCGACGTTGACAGCATCGTCGTCGCCAACATCGTCATCATCATCAAAAGAAAGGACTGACAATAACAATCACAAAGACTCGAGAAGAGACTCAGGAAAAGAATTTTCACTACAGGATCATAACAATAAGTCTGACACGACAACGACGACAGCACCACCCCACCAACCCCTCGTCGTAAACGGGTCCTGTGTCAGAAGGCGAAACAATCCTACTAGTCCTGGTCCTGTTCATGGTCCTGGTCCTCTTGTTCTTGGTCCGAATGCCAGCAGTCTAGTGAAAGTGAACAACTGATCTAATTAACATTGATCAACATTGTTTCTGCTTCTCTCTCTCCCTGCCCCCTCCAATCTCATGTGTCTGCCTTGGGTGTGTGAGCGTGCCCATGTGTGTGTGGATTTGATTCCTCGATCGTTATTATTTCCTTTCCTTTCCTTTCCTTCCTTCCTTCCTTCCTTTCTTTTCTTTCATTGCTTCTTTCTCTTTTTGCTCTGCATTTTTTTTGTTATTGTTATTGTTGCATTTGCATAAACACGGCGATGATCGATCGATCAACTCAACTGATTAATCAACTTGACTACATATCCGTTTTATCTTGTCTTGTCTTGTCTCATTTCTTTTCATTTCATTTTCATTTTCTGTTCTTTTTTTTTCTTTTCTTTTTCTTCTTCTTTTTCTTTTTTTCATCTTGTTTGTTGGTTGGAAAAGTGAACTCTGAACTCTGCAATCCACACACAGACACACGCATGCACACACATACATACACACAGAGCTCAACCTCATCTATGTCTATCCTGATCTCTCTCTCTCTCTCTCTATCCTTCCTCTATCTATCGATTTGATAATAATAGTCCTAGCTAATAGAATGGTTGATTTGATGGCTATTTTGTGTATAGAAGGAACAGGAGCACGAGCATGTTATAATGCAATAATCAATGGTTCGCTCAATTGCTCGCTCGCAAGGACTTTATACTTCCGCACTTCAGTCGGCAAACAACCATGGATCCAGCAGAAACAAAAAGAAAAAGACAAGTGAAAAAAAAAAGGAGAGAGGAAAGAAAGAAAGAAAGTGAATTCTCAAAAGAAGCATCTAGATAAACAAAACCCGAAAAAAAATGTCAAAGTATCTAGCATGATAACTCAATTTCAATTTCAAAAAAAAAAGGAAAAAGAAAGAAAGGAAATCTCTGGACATACTCTCTACAGTATATCTCGTTGAGTTATTATTACCTATCTAGGTAAATAGGTAGTTACATACGTAGGTACCTAGGTAGGTAGGTAAGGTAGGCTAATACTGGGAGTGGGTCTCCAGGTCTGAAATCAGTTTACAAAATAATAATAATTATTATTATTACAGATGTAACTAGATGAACGGAGCATATAATAGACCGTACTGTATGAACGTATGTATCTCGCTTGCATTGGGAATTTCTAACTGGGATGGATCATGCTAAGAGGTCTGTATTGTAGGTATTTTTTTTTTGCAAAAAAAGGAACCAAACGGAATGACAACCCCAACTAACTAACTAACTACTGCATGCATGCTTGCAACTTGAGAATGATAATGATAGTTATACACACAGATAATACCATGTCCTCCTTTAATAGCCCGAATTTCATGTCATGTCCCTAACTGATGGTTCACGCACTGCCAATACAAATCATCCTGATAGCCTTTAGCGAGATGGTGACCTTGTGTAGCTCCGATCTCTCCCCCCTCTCCGTCGAGGTGGTGTCACTGACCGAGACGGTGAGCGACGACGCCGATACGGACCGGGACTCCTCGAGTCGTATGACTCACTCCGTCCACGTCTGGCGCCAGACCGCCGCGGCGGCGTGTACGAATCCGACCGTCCCCTTCGACGAGGAGGTGTGGGTGAGCGACTGTACGAAGGAGCCCGTCGACGAG